AGAATCTGATTGGTTTCAATGTTGTGATTTCCAGAATGAGTACAAGCAGTTTTATAGTCAAGCAAGACACAAAATGCGATTCGTAACTTCACTTGTTTCCCAAATAACCGCGTGCGCCTCGTTTCACCCCGAGTCGCACACGCAACCGAACCGAATTCACCGAACACTCCTTGAGCCCGAATCTGGAAATTTTTCGAACACGCCTTGGTCTCGAACCACATTTTCCCCTGTCGAACTCATTCTCGATTCTTCTCCACTCTTCTTCCTTCATTTCTCCAGGTTCTTCCCGATTTCTCTCCCGCTTTTCACGCCTTAGCTTCCAACGTCCAACGTAGGCCGATTTCTACCGAAATCACTCTAGAATCTCCCACGAGCTCCATTCCGCCGCCATTCCGCATTTCATCGTAGGTTCTGTGGTTGGGCGAACCAACCCTAACAATCTCCCCTGTGGTTCGTCAACCACGAACACCACTCACACTGCTCCCCTGTTCCTCGTAGCCTTCACAGGGTCTAAGTCGCCTTCACACTCCCCTGCAGCTCCTGCACCTTGAACCTCTCCTTACGTGTCTTGAAGTTGAGCGCCTTGACATCCAATCCATGAAACATTTTCTTGAGCCTCTCGCTTCTCCTCGGCATCTCAACACTCAACACCTTGCGGGTCTCATACCCCTCAACGTGTTCCTCCTTTGTAAGCACTCGCCCCTTTGCAGTTGCATTCGCCTTTGATCCTTTCACCATGCCCCTTTGCAGTTGCATTCGCCTTTGATCCTTTCACCATGATGTCCCCTTTCACAACGACTCCCACACACTTCGCATTTACTGCTTCATCTTCAACCACGATCGCTGCTGCAAATGTGTTGACACCATCTCCATCTCCACCATTCACTGCTGCTGCCTCCATGGTGACTATCTCCTCTTCCTGCTTCTCTGCTGCCTCCACACTTGCTCCCGTATCATCCGTGTCGTCGCTCTTATCAGCCTCATTCGATAACTCCTCCAATTCTGACCTGAATGTCATGTGACGCGTGCATCCGCTGTCCATGAACCATGCCGTCTTCTCATGATCGTCCGTCTGCCGAACCTCCTTTGGTAAACGCACCACGTTCGCACGATGCGCTCCTCCAAGGATCATATCATCCTCGTTCGCTTCTGCTACATTCGCCTTAGCCGCCACATTCCTCTGCTGCGACGGACCCTTGTAGCTCCTGCTGTTCGGATTGGAGTAGCACTCTGCGGCACGATGCCCATAGCGCCCACAATAATCGCACTTACCGCCAAAAACTCGTTTATGCTGCCACTCCGCTCCCTCATTTTCTCCTTTATCGTTCTCCATCGCTTTGCCCTTGTAGTTTCTGCTTCGCGGGTTTTCGTAGCAGTTTATCGCCTTATGCCCCCTCTTTCCACACTGGTAGCACGCTCCAAACGCCTTTGTCGCATTCACCATAGCCGACCTTTCCTCGTCGAATTCCGTAGCTGCTACTGCCGCTTTCTTTTTCCTCATCTCCTTCACCGTCTCAAGCGATTGCAGGATCTCCTGCAGCTTCGTCAAACTCTCCGGCGGTTGGTACGTAAACATACCGATGTCGGATTCCCATTCTTTAGGAAGGCCTTGGATGATATAGTCAATCATCTCGTGCTCCGTCTCCGCGGCTCCCATCACCCGCAAATCGTCGTTGTAGCTTTTCGCCCTGTTGATGTAGGTGATGATTTTCTCGCCTTTCTCCATGCTCAGCGTCAGCAGTTGCTTCCGAATCGCCTTCTTGTTGACATCGTTCGTACCCATGTACGTGGACTCCAAGTACTCCCACGCTTTCTGTGCAGAGTTCAGCTCCCCTGCAAACTGGTCCAAATCCACCGCGATTCCATCGGCAACTGAGTGACAAAGCTGAAAGAACGCTTGCTTACTTTGTTTTTTGAACGCCGCTATTTTCTCCTTCGTATCCGTCGGGGATGGCGCAACCCCCTCCATCGTCTCCTCGTTGGGACGGTAGTACGGCAAGAGGTCAACCTCCTCTGCCCTCCGAATAAACTTCTTCCGCCACACGTTGTAGTTGCTTCCATTGAAGCGCTGAGCTTCACTGAGCCCGATCGTCGGTTTCGCCACCAATCGGCCACTCGCAAGGGCCTCGAGAAGAGCCTTCAACTGCGGGTCTCCAAGACTCACACTGGAACCCGAACTCGCCTCGTCTCCCATGGCGTAGGCGTGAACGACTCCTCTTCTCCACTAATTTCACTTAGCGCACCAAGTGAATTCACCGCGATCGACGCGCCCGTTCGCCAAGCTCTGATACCAGTTCTTAGGATCGTAAACACCTTAGTCGGCAATAGTCTACTTGCTATTGCTTATCGTGTTCTCCACGATCTCCCAAATCCAACGATATGCGCAGCTCTGCTTGAAGTTGTCAATACACACTTCAGCAATTTCCAGAATCTGATTCGTTTCAATGTTGTGATTTCCAGAATGAGTACAAGCAGTTTTATAGTCAAGCAAGACACAAAATGCGATTCGTAACTTCACTTGTTTCCCAAATAACCACGTGCGCCTCGTTTCACCCCGAGTCGCACACGCAACCGAACCGAATTCACCGAACACTCCTTGAGCCCGAATCTGGAAATTTCTCGAACACGCCTTGGTCTCGAACCACATTTTCCCCCGTCGAACTCATTCTCGATTCTTCTCCACTCTTCTTCCTTCATTTCTCCAGTTTCTTCCCGATTTCTCTCCCGCTTTTCACGCCTTAGCTTCCAACGTCCACCGTAGGCCGATTTCTACCGAAATCACTCTAGAATCTCCCACGAGCTCCATTCCGCCGCCATTCCGCATTTCACCGTAGGTTCCGTGGTTGGGCGAACCAACCCTAACACATAATGCTTGCACTGACGTCAGTATGTGACGTGAAGTAAGCAGGGATGAGGAAGGAAATTGGGTGGGGGGAAGAAACGGGGGAAAGGGGGGGGAGGGTGGGGGAAAGGGGGTTGATGTGGGAGGAGGGGAGGGGTGGGGAGGAGGGATGGGAGGGATTGGGGAAAAAAAAAAGGGGGAGATGTTGTAAGGAAAATTTGGAGAGGAGGGATGTGCACGGTGTTTGGAAGCTAGCAAGCTTGGGGAGAGGGAACACACTGGGATGGGCCACGCCATGGCACACGGTGGCTCATGATGACTCAAGCTGACTCATGATGACTCAAGCTGACTCATGATGACTCGAGATGGCACAACGGCTCGTGATAGCTTATGATGATTCATATTGACTCGCAAGATGACTCGAGATGTCTCAAGACGACAGGACTCTGGCTTTCAGAAACTTTGAGACGTCTCAAAACATCCGCGTGTAAGGAGACGACTGTTTTAGACGACTCAAGATAAATCACGATGACTCGGCTTTCAGAACCATCATGGACCCTCTACTTGCTGCATTGACTGCACGAACCCGATCATTTGTCTCCCATTACACTCACGCTGGCTCTTGTCAATCCTCTGTCCCTGCACCGGAGTGGCCAGCGCTCCCCATGACGTCAGCAAACTGCACAGAAGAAGGGCTGCCACCGTCGACCAATCGAGATTCGTCGCCATCGCTGAAGTAGTTAAAATATCAGGCTCGTTGCACCGTAGTAATATAATCGTCGAGGTTTGTGCGCTGAGCTAATTTAATAAATGTAGTGCGTGAGCTAATAAAAAATTGTTGTGCGTGAGCAATTACAACTAGTAGTTGTGCATGAGAAAAAGTTCGTTGCGCCTTGGAAGGCCCTCGTTGAGCATCTATATGCAAGTTGCAACTCAATATGTGCATATGTCACGTGGTCGGAGAAAAAAAAGAGGAACTCCAAACCAGCCAGACCAACCTAGAGAACTCCAACACAGCGAAGGGAAGTTGTCCCTGGTTCCTGTGAGGTCCCAGGTTTGCTGCATGTGCTTCGCTGTTGAATAGTAACGGAAAAAATACCTGTTGCGCCCAGGCTGGCTTCCAACAAGGATGAAGTGGACTTCGGTGGACGATCAAGCTTTTTCAAGACCAGAATTGCTCGGCGAAGATATTAAAGACATTTTTTTGCAGGTTTGACTCGGCGCTTCGCAAAACCAGAGAGCACTATTTCCCGTACAGTATCCTGTTTTCAGTATTACGGGTATCCATGTTTTGCTGAGGAGTGTTCGCTGGGCTATTTCTATTCGCGGAACAGACGGATGGCGTAATGGGTTTCGCAATCACAGTCAATGGTATTCTTTGTCGGTCAACTTGCTGAATCTGGCACCTGCGATTTGCCAGCGAGACTTCGTTGACTCCAGCAAGAGCGAAAGCTCCTCTACAACAATTGGCTGAGCAATATAAAGGTCAGATATTGATTGTGTGTGGTTGGCAATGCCATATAGTTATCATCACCACAAAACCTAAACATACTACGAAACATCAACTAGCATAAAGAACATAGCGATTGGTGCTATTATATTCAGAAAACATATCAACGCTATATGGACAGTACACCAAGCGCCATGTTCGTTGAGGTATATCTGTCGACTTCCCCACCATGTCAATGTAAGTTGATGCCAATATGCTTTGCATTTTTGCATTTCGCCTTCTTATCACCTTTCTAAACTAAGTGAAGCTCAATACGCATAACTTAGTGACTTCTGTTGATGATTGCATCCAAAATTAGTAGGAGCTATCAAGCCCGGTAGGAGATTACCGGTAGGTGAGTTAGAGCGTGTTCCTGCACCTCGTATCAAGAGAACCTCGTATCAGGCTCACACTGGAAATTCCCCTAAACCCGAAACCTCTCGCTAGTTTTACCAGGCAAAAATTACATTCTTGATACGAGGTTTCCTGATATGAGGCCATAGGAACACGCCCTTAAATTTTTTTTTTTGCCAGTGTGGTGAAATTTCCTAGCACTATCTGCATGTTTGTTTGACACGGAATTGAGCCAGCGAAATTCCACACACAAATAACAAAACATGACAAGAGAAACAACCATACAACAAACACCGTGAATCACCCTAGCCATATTCAAATATTATTAACTGAAACACCCCAATCTGGCCGACTATCACCATCACCATCACCACCACCACCACCGAACCCATTCTCCAAACCGCCGCTCCCCTCGCCTCCATAAACCTCATCCGGGTCCGTGAGCCCAAAAAAGTCGGTCCGAATAGCCTTGAGCGTTGCCAGCACCTCCCCCATGGGCGGGCGGTCGGTGAAGGGCATGGCGGTGCAGCGAATGGCGAGCTCAGCGAGGGAGAGGAAGGACGACTCGGGCACGTCGAGATGCGGGTCCTTTAGCTCCTCCGTCTTGCCCTCATCGATTAAAGGTGCCGCCTGGTAAGTAAGGGGACAGAGGAGGACAAAGGAGAAAAGCGCATGGGAGAAAATGAGGAGTGAGCGAGGGCAAAGGTAGCAGGATTCCGGCACGTCCACGTGCAATCTCTAACCCATTGAGAAACGCATTCAGCAGCAGCAGCAGCAGCAGCAGAAGCAGCTTCACTCACCCAGTCTGCAATGTGCTCGTGGTCCTCCCCGTGCTCCGCCTGCACCTGGATGAACGGCGGCCGCCCCTTGTCCCAATGTCCCCCACCCAATGCTCACAATATTCAGCCCGGTGCACAGCCCACTCAACAAGCAGCACTCACCCAGTCTGCGATGTGCTCGTGGTCCTCCCCGTGCTCTGCCTGCACCTGGATGAACGGCGGCCGCCCTGTCAGCAGCTCCAGAAAGATTACTCCAAAGCTGCAGGGCGCGAAAAAGGGGAGGGAGGGAGGGAGGGAGGGAAGGAGGGAGGGAGGGAAGGAGGGAGGTAGGGAAGAAGTTAAGGATGCATCCAGTAGAACCATACAGCATTCAATCTGCGCCAGTATGCCAAGGCCAAGCAACATATGACCCTTACAAAGAGATTCCGCCCTCAACCTCTGCCTCACCTGAACACGTCTGAGGCCTTGGTGGCAATATGAGAGGTCAGATAGACCGGGTCGACGTATCCCGGGGTGCCGAACAGTCTTCCCGCGCTCACGGCGCTCTGCTCGTTGTGCTGCAGCAGCCCGTAATTGGCGACCTTGGCCTGCCAGCTCACTAGAGCACACCAGGACCACCCCACCCACCCCAGATGTCACCCCTTTACAACATGCATGCCGCCTACGGGAGTCTCACCTGAACACGTCTGAGGCCTTGGTGGCAATGTGCGAGGTCAGGTAGACAGGATCCACGTATCCCGGGGTGCCGAACAGCCTTCCCGCGCTCACGGCGCTCTGTTCATTCCGCTGCAGCAGCCCGTAGTTGGCGACCTTGGCCTGCCAGCTCACTAGAGCACACCAGGACCACCCCACCCACCCCAGATGTCACCCCTTTACAACATGCATGCCGCCTACGGGAGTCTCACCTGAACACGTCTGAGGCCTTGGTGGCAATGTGCGAGGTCAGGTAGACAGGATCCACGTATCCCGGAGTGCCGAACAGCCTTCCCGCGCTCACGGCGCTCTGCTCGTTGCGCTGCAGCAGCCCGTAATTGGCCACCTTGGCCTGCCAGCTCTTGTCGATGAGGATGTTGGCGGGCTTGAGGTCCCCATGCACCATGCCCACCGAATGCAGGTACTGCACCCCGTGCGCCATGCCTATCAGGATGTCCACGCGCTCCCACAGGGCAAAGGAGGCTCGGAAGGTCTCTGCTAGGGGGGCACGGGCAGGGGAAGGGCACGGGCAGGGGCAGAGGCAGGGGCAGGGGGAGGGGAACAGGGTGTTGAGCGGCTTGTTTTTCTCCTCAGTCTGCTCATTCCTCTGCAGCAGCCCGTAATTGGCGACCTTGGCCTGCCAGCTCTTGTCGATGAGGATGTTGGCGGGCTTGAGGTCCCCATGCACCATGCCCACCGAGTGCAGGTACTGCACCCCGTGCGCCATGCCTATCAGGATGTCCACGCGCTCCCACAGGGCGAACGAGGCTCGGAAGGTTTCTGTTAAGGAGGGTTGGGAGAGGGGGAGGGGCAGAGGAAGAAGGCATGTTGGCGGGCTTGAGGTCCCCATGCACCATGCCCACCGAGTGCAGGTACTGCACGCCATGCGCCATGCCTATCAGGATATCCACGCGCTCCCACAGGGCAAAGGACGCCCGGAAGGTTTCTGCCGGGAGAGCCACAATCAGACAGGGAAGTAGAGGGCACATAGAAGGGCTTGACGTCCCCATGCGTGCACCATGCGGTCGTTTTTGAGGCGCCTCAAAAACGACCTCAATGCACAATCAGACAGGGAAGTAGAGGGCACATAGAAGGGCTTGACGTCCCCATGCGTGCACCATGCCCACCAAGTGCAGATACTGCATGCAGTGCGTCATGCCCATGAGGATACTGCAGGAATGGATAGCATGCGGTGATGGCTCACCTTGATAGAGGTAGCGGCTGAGGTCCCCGTGGTGCACGTATTCATACACTGCAATCTGCTCCTCCACCGGCACCATCCCTTCCCTTGCACCTGCTGCTGCACTAGAGAAATATCACTTCTGGCAGTCACACAGGCCACAAACCTTGGTAGAGGTAGCGGCTGAGGTCCCCGTGGTGCACGTATTCGTACACTGCAATCTGCTCCTCCACCTGCACCATCCTGCCGCCCTCCACCCGCGTGTCCGAGTCCACACAGTAGCCCAGCAGGTGCGCCAGATTCGGGTGCCACTTGCTTGCGATTTGCTCCACCTGGTTGGGAGGCAAGCAGGGTACAGGCAGAGCGACCACAGGAGTAGGGGGTGAGCCGATCTGCTCCTCCACCTGCACCATCCTGCCGCCCTCCACGTGCGTGTCCGAGTCCACACAGTAGCCCAACAGGTGGGCGAGATTGGGGTGCCACTTGCTTGCGATTTGCTCCACCTGGTGTGGTGATAAGAATAGGCAACAGTATGGGCATAATGAGGAGGAGAGGGAAGGGGTTGAGAGCTCCCCTCCACTCGCGTGTCCGAGTCGACACTGTAGCCCAGCAGGTGGGCGAGATTCGGGTGCTCCACCTGATGATCCGGGAGGGTGATTGGATGGGCAACCAGGGTACATGGAAGGGGGCAAACACAGGGGTGGGTGAGCTGATCTGCTCTGCTCCTCCACCTGCACCATCCCGCCCTCCACTTGCTTGCTATCTGCTCCACCTGGTGTGGTTTGAGAGGGGGTAGTGGACAGGGCACGAGGGGGCGAACACAGGGGTGAGTGAGCTGGTCCGCCGCCCTCCACCCTTCACCATCCTGCCGCCCTCCACTCGCGCATCCGAGTCCACGCAGTAGCCCAGCAGGTGGGCCAAGTTGGGATGCCACTTGCTTGCGATTTGCTCCACCTGATGTGGTGGGTGATTGGAAGAGAATGGGCAACAGATCCCGGAACAGGTTCGGCAACAGGTTCGGAAATGGGTTCGGCAGCAGGTTCGGCAACATGCACTCAGCTCTCTCAACGCTCACCTCCTTCTCGAAGTGCGTGGAGCGCTCCTTGTAGCGCTTCACAGCCCACGTGCTGGCGGGGTTGTACGGGCACGTGCCCTTGTACACGTCGCTGTGCTGCCCGCTGCCGATGCGGTTCTCCTCGCTCCAGTTGCCCGTGGCTCGGTGGATCTCCACCAGAGAGTAGCGGCAGCACAGCGACGGGATCAGACCCGCATCATCGAATTCCTCCTGGTCTGCAGTGGTGGTGGGGTGGAAGGAAGACGGGCAAATGAAACGGAGTGAGAGGAAGAGAGCGAGTGCTTCTCTGTGAGCAAGAGCAGGAGCAGCAGCAGCAGCAAGAGCCGGAGCAGGGAAGGAAGGGAACACTCAAAGGGAAGACTCACCAACGACCTTGACGTGCTTGAAAGGGTTGGAGCCTGGCCGACAGCAGCACCACACGAGGAAGGCCACAAGCACCACTGTGAGCAGGAGCAGAAAACCGCACACCACCGCAATGATTGCAGCCATGCTCAGCCCACCACCGGTACCACCGTTGCCATCGCTCCCACTCTCCCCCTCATTCTCTACTGCCATCTCCTCAAAGGGCTCGCAGGAGGTGCAGAACTCGGGGCAGAGGTGGCAGAAGGAGGAGGAGGCGGACTGGGAGACTAGGCAGAGGGACGAAGAGGCGGGGCAGGGCTGGGCTGTGGCGTTGATGGTCCTGTGGGATGGGGCGAGAGGAGACAGGGAGAAAGAGAGCAGGAAGGGTAGGAGGGATTGCTGAGGGGGCTCGCAGGAGGTGCAGAACTCGGGGCAGAGGTGGCAGAAGGAGGAGGAGGCGGACTGGGAGACTAGGCAGAGGGACGAGGGGGCGGGGCAGGGCTGGGCTGTGGCGTTGATGGTCCTGTGGGATGGGGCAAGGGTAGAACACGGAAGGAGAGGGGTGGGAAAGGTTGAGAAGATGGAGGTGGACTGGGAGACTTGGCAGAGGGACGCGGAGGAGGGGCAGGGCTGGGCTGTGGCGTTGATGGTCCTGTGGGATGGGGCGAGAGGAGGGCAAGTGGGGGAGGAGGGCGAGAGAACACAGGTGGAGAGAAGCTGCGCGCTGTAAGGAGCAACAAAAGAAGAGCCGCAAGGGACAAGCGATCCGATTCACAAGCGATCCGATTCACAAGCGATCTGATTCCAGAGACAATTTTTGAGGCGCCTAAAAAAACGATTTTTGAGGCGCCTCAAGAAGCTGCACGCTGTAAGGAGCAACAAAAGACGAGCCGCAATGGACAAGCGATCCGACTCCAGAGAGTGGAGTTTTGAGTCACTGGACTCAAAACTCGACTCACTACAAGCCGCAAGGGACAAGCGATCCGATTCCAGAGACCACTGGAGAGAAGGCAGTAAAAAAGGTGCGCCATACTGCTTTTTTCAGACGTCTTTAAAATTAGTGGGGCCGTGCCTTGCTGCTGTACCTCCAGTCAAGTCAACTTACAGTGCTTTCAGCAGGGAGAGCTTTCCAAGCGTGGCTGGCAGAGCTCCTGAGAGCTGATTGGAGTGCAGTTCTCTGGGAGAGAGAGGCGGGGTGGAGGGGAAAACAGGGGTTGAGAGCGGTGGGAGAGGGTGGGCAGGGAGAGGGCAGGGCGAGGGCAGGGAGAGGGGGTGTGTAAGTCAAACCAGCATGGCCGGTGAAGGCTTTTGAGGCGCCTCATAAGTGAAACCAGCATGGCGGTGAAGGACCTGAGAGCTGGTTGGAGTGCAGTGCTCCGGGAGAGAGGGGAGGTAGGTTGGTTGCAGTAGGTAGGTTGCTGAGTGCGGGGTAGGCACTAGGTTACAGAAGACTCACAGAACGGTGAGGTTGGAGAGAAGGCCCATGGTTGGCGGTAGGGCGCCTGAGAGCATGTTGTTGTCCAGCCGCCTGGAAGAGAGGTAGTTGCCAAGGGGTGAAAGAAGAGGGATGAAAGGGAGAGGGATGAAAGGGAGAGAAGGCAAGAACGGTGAGGTTGGAGAGAGTGCCAATGGATGGAGGGAGGGCACCTGAGAGCATGTTGCTGTCCAGCCGCCTGGGATGTGCGAGACAAGGGGGGCAGGAAGAGGGACGCAAGGGAGGATGAAAAAGGGAGAGTGGCAAGGGGAGAAGGCAAGAACGGTGAGGTTGGAGAGGGTTCCAATGGTTGGCGGGAGGGCGCCTGAGAGCACGTTGTTGTCCAGCCGCCTGGGATGGGCGAGACAAGACAAGGGGGGCGCAGCGCAGGGAGGACGCAAAGGGACGGAACAGAAGACAGGTCGGCAAAAGGAGCTGGCAAGAATTGTGAGGATGGAGAGAAGGCCAATGACTTTGTAAGGGGCGCCTCAAAAGTTGGCAAAAGGAGCCGGCAAGAATGGTGAGGATGGAGAGGGTGTCGGTGGATGGTGGGTGGGAGGGACAAAAGAGAAAAGGCAGAGAGAGAGAGAGAGAGAGAGAGAGAGAGAGAGAGAGAGAGAGAGAGAGAGAGAGAGAGAGAGAGAGAGAGAGAGTCACAAAGGGATGGCAGGGAGAAGGCGAGAACAGAGAGTTTGAAGATGGCAAGGTGATGGCTTTTCAAAGAAAGAGAACATTCTTACCCTCCCCACCCCACTCCACCCCACCCCACCCCACCCCACCCCACCCCACCCCACCCAAGACTCACATGTCCCGCATTGCCCACAGCTGGCCTATGCTGTCTGGTAGACTGCCGCTGATGCTCCCCATCCACCCATCCCCACCACAAGCACTCTCACCCTCCACCGCCCCCACATTTCGACTCAACCTCTTCCCCACCCCAACCCCTCCTCCGGACTCACATGTCCCGCATTGCCCACAGCTGGCCTATGCTGTCTGGTAGACTGCCGCTGATGCTGTTGTTGGATAGGTAGCTGCGGAGAGGGGGAGGGAGGGGCGGGGAGAGAGGGGGAGAGATATGATAAGTGGGAGGATGGAAGGGGTGGGAATGGGTGGGAACAGGAAAATCAAGAGAAGGCCAGTAAAAGTTTTAGTCAAACATTCAACTAGGAATAGATTCGATTCGTTTTGATTTGATTGGATTGGATTGGATGCTTACAGAATCTGCAGGCTCGTGCAGTTACCGATCTCGGTAGGGAGTGGACCAATGAGTTTGTTGTCCTCTATCCACCTGCACATGAAGAACACGTGGCATGCAGAGAATATGACACGTGGCAAGAAGGAATAAAATGAGAAGATGACACGTGGCAAAGAAAATAAGAAAAAACAAACAAACAAACAAACAAACAAACGAAATGCTGTGACATCAAGGTGGGTGGCTTACAGGTGCTCCAAGTCCTGCAGGCTGCCAATTGCGGGCGGCAGACTGCTGCTGATTTGATTCCCCGACAGGTACCTGCAGGAAGCAAACAGTGGCGATGGTGGGTGGAGCGGATGATTAGTTAAGAGGATGCTTAGCTAAGAGGATGTTTAGTCCATACCTTATCATCAACCCTCCCGACACCCATCGTCAACCCGTTACCACCCACCATCACCCAGCATTAGCCCCTCTCTTTACTTACACCCATTTGAGCTTCTTCAGGGCACCGATGGCAGGTGGGATGGGGCCTGAGAGCTGGTTGGGACTCAGATCACTGCTTGCACAACGAAAAGGGCAGGGCGGAGGGAAGGAAAACAGGCGGAGGGAAGGAAAACAGGCGGAGGGAAGGAAAACAGGCGGAGGGAAGGAAAACAGGCGCGGGTGGAGAAGGAAAGGCAGGGGATGGGGAGGGAGCGGTGGAATGGGATGGTGGAGGTGCTGAGGATGAGATGAAAGCAGTATGGAAGAGCAGAATGGAAGAGCGCAGAAGAAGAAATGATGAAGACTGACACGCACGCAGGCATGAATGCAGTGCTGGTGCGATGCGGTGCGGTTCGGAGCAGTGCGATGGAGTGCAGTGCTCTGCTCTTCTTACAGTGTGAACAGGTTCGTAAGCGCCGCAAATGCATCCGGGATCGGCCCTGTTAGCGCATTGCCTCCCAACTCCCTGCAGGGACGAGCAGGGTAGATGGAGATGGGTGGAGATGGGTGTGAGTGCATCTGTGTGCGATTCTGGAATAGGCCCTGTGAGCGCATTGCCTCCCAACTCCCTGTGGGGATGAACATGAAGAGCAGGGGTAGATGGAGAGGGGTGAGGATGGGTGTGGAGGTACAGCCAAACACCAGTTGGCATGAGCAGTTCTGAACGTGACGAGTGGGAGAGAGGAAGAAAGGAAGCAAGGAAGAGAGGAAGTGAGGGGTGAAGTTGTGGGGGTGGGATATAGGAGGGTGGGATAAAGAGGGGTGCAGGTGGGTTGAGTGCAGAAACTCACAGGTGCTGCAGCTTGGAAAGCTTTCCGAGAGTTTCAGGGATGTTTCCAGCAAGGCGGTTGTTGTTGAGGTTGCTGCAGTCATGGAGAGATGGAGAGGGACGGACGGAGAGGGACGGGAAAGGGACGAGAGGAGACGGTTTTTGAGAGTGATCGGGATGTTTCCAGCAAGGCGGCTGCTGCTGTTGAGGTTGCTGCAGTCATGGACAGATGGAGAGGGACGGACGTAGAGGAACAGAAGGAGTAGGTTGGAAGGAGAGGGTCGGAGGGAGAGGGTCGGAAGGAGAGGGTCGGAAGGAGAGGGTCGGTGGGAGAGGGTCGGAAGGAGAGGGTCGGAAGGAGAGGGTCGGAAGGAGAGGGTCGGAAGGAGAGGGTCGGAAGGAGAGGGTCGGAAGGAGAGGGTCGGAAGGAGAGGGTCGGAAGGAGAGGGTCGGAAGGAGAGGGTCGGAAGGAGAGGGTCGGAAGGAGAGGGTCGGAAGGAGAGGGTCGGAAGGAGAGGGTCGGAAGGAGGAGAGGAACAGAAAAATAAAGAAGGATGCTATAAGCCACAGGAGAGGAACGGTCGACAGTCATGTATTGGGACAACAAAGGTACCGTTGCGTGCGCTGCATGCCTACAGCAGAATGAGCGCCTTGAGACTCGCTAGCAGGCAGGGCAGGGCAGGACAGGGCCTGAGAGGCTTACAGCAGGATGAGCGCCTTGAGATTGCCGAGCTCCCCGGGGATGCGGCCTGACAGGGCGTTCTCACCGAGATTGCTGCACAGCAGGGCGTTCAGGGTTTGTGGTGGTTGGGAGGAACGGGGCGGGATGGGGATTAGTGAGAGGAAAGATGAGAGACTTGAGATTGCCGAGCTCCATGGGGATGCGGCCTGACAGGGCGTTCTCACCGAGATTGCTGCACAGCAGGGCGTTCAGGGTTTGTGGTGGTTGGGAGGAATGGGGCGGGATGGGGATTAGTGAGAGGAAAGATGAGAGACTTGAGATTGCCGAGCTCCATGGGGATGCGGCCTGACAGGGCGTTCTCACCGAGGTTCCTGCGTGGCAAGGCGTTCAAGAAGGCATATGGTGGTGGTGGGGGGGGGGGGGAGGGAGAAGGGGGGGTTTGAGTGAGTCAACTAGAAAATACTGACAGGGCGTTCTGACCGAGATTGCGGCATGACAGGGCGTGGTCACGAGGGTACGTGGTGGTGGGGGGGAATGGAGAGGGATGGGGTGGGCGGCAGAAGGGAGTAGCGGGGATGTGGGGAAAGGTACGGTAAAGCATGACTCACAGAGCTTCGAGGTTTGAGAGGAGGCTGAGGGAAGCAGGGACGGGGCCTGTGAGATTGTTGCCGTGTAGGTATCTGCACTCATGGGTGCATGGATGCATGCATGATGGATGCATGCATTAGTGGGCGGATTGATACACGGGTGGGGGAAAGCATACGTACAGCTCATGCTACCCCATGCCAAACCATGCCACCCCATGCCGACCCATGCCACACCATACCATGCCACCTCACTCTACCCCATGCCAACGCATGCTAACCCATGCCGCCCCATGCCACTCACAATTCTCTCAGCAGCTTCAGCCTCCCCATATCGGGCAGGCGCCCGTACAGGTGGTTGTCGTGTAGCGAGCTGGACGCACACACGCACAGGGAGAGGGGAAGAGGAGGGGAAGAAGGGGAGGAGGAGGAGAAGGGATGAGGGGGGGTGGTTTGGGGGATGGAAGGGGATACTGATTATGTAACATTTTATCCACGATTACTGTGTAACCGTGATCTCAATGAAAGGCAGTTGTGGAGAAAGGGGGTAACGGGGAAGCTGGTTGCTGCGGTCTTACAGGTTAGTGAGGCTGGCAAAAGCGGAGATCACTTTGGGGATGACCCCAGTGAGGTTGCGATTGGCTAGGTTGCTGCGGAGGGGACATGGAAGGGATTGGGAAAGGGGTGGAGACGGGGATAAGAGAGCGTGAGGGAAGGAGGCTGGCAAAAGCGGAGATCGCTTTGGGGATGATTCTAGTGAGGTTGCGACTGGCTAGGTTGCTGCAGAGGGGACACGGGAAGGATTGGGGAGGTGATAGAGAGAGAGAGAGGGGGTGCGAGAGAGTGTGAGGGACAAATATATAAATGTAACAGTGTTTACTTGACGAGGGATGGCGAAGGATACTCTCATGTTTCTCACGACCATTAATCACCCGCCCGCTCTGCTCACATCATGGTGATACTCACATGTGCGTCACCATGCCCTGCGCGTCACACCTGAGGCCAATACTCACATGCTCCTCACATCCTCCTTAAATGCCCCTCCCATGCTTTTATGACTCGGTATTCATAGGCCATCACTCACATGCTCCTCACATCCTCCTTAAATGCCCCTCCCATGCTTGTACGACTCGGTATTCATAGGCCATCACTCACATGCTCCTCACGTCCTCCTTAAATGCCCCTCCCATGCTTGTATGACTCGGTATTCATAGGCCATCACTCACAAGCTCCTCACGTCCTCCTTAAATGCCCCTCCCATGCTTGTATGACTCGGTATTCATAGGCCATCACTCACATGCGCGTCACCATGCCCTGCGCGTCGCACGTGAGGCCAGCCCGCAAGTCGCACTGCTCAAACGGCGGTAGCCGCCACGCCTTGCTCAGCGCCTTTAGCGGCCGCACTGGGGGCGGGGGAGGAAGAGGGGAGGGGGAACCGGGGAGGGAGAGGGGTAGATGAGGGAGTGAAGAGAGAGAAATGAGTTTTGTGAAAGACGGAGCGAACGGAGGCAGCCGCCACGCTTTGCTCAGCGCCTGTAGCGGCCGCGCTGGGGGGGGGGGGGGGAGGGGTGGGGGGGGGAGAGCTCGGGTTGATCAAGGAAAGGCCTTTTTGGACAGGTTCAATGGCTTCTCTGCCCCTGGTGTCACTACATAATCGCCTGGTAGGCTTTCTGAACCAGGTGCTGCTTGGCTATCGTTGAGGCGCCTCAATAATTGCTCTGTATGGTGTCGTAACTTCGCCTGGTATGGTGCTGCTTGAATCGATTTTTGACTTGGCTAGATAATCGCCTCAACACACGGGGATTATTGATCGACTACAAAATCTGCCACTGGTGTCCACATAGGTACAATCGCCCGGCAGGATTCTAAAACCAGATACCTCTAAAACAGTGCCCACGACGCGAAAGTGATAACTCAAATCCCGCGCGTGACGGTGGTTGAGATTGCATGCGCCTACATTGAGATTGGTGAAGTTTCGTCGAAGCTGGATTTGCTGAAGTCGCGGAGTTGACGAAGAGGGAGGAGCAGAGGAGGAGAATCGCGCCGAGGTGGAAAGCTCGGCGCGCGGGACTTGACAGTACTCGCGCCGACCGCACCATCTTTCGATCAATCATTGTGGTGTCTATTACGTAAGTGCCAGCTACTATGTACTTTAGATGCACTACTACTAGTAGTACTTTGAATGCAAGTTGCCCTTTCGGCGAAAAAAAAAAACGGGCCGAACTTGGAAAGTACTTCTGTATAAGATTGTACGCAATTGCCCGATTTTCTATCGTATCTTATTGACGCTGTGATTGAATAAATCGGTTCTGAAGAGAAAGAGAGGCCCTGGCTGGAAACGGAAACCCTAGAATATTGTGACGCACTACAAACTAATCGCGCAGAGATAGAAAGAAAGAACCCGGAATATTTCAGACGATATTTGACGCTGAAAAACTCTACGGAGTGCTGCGAACAGCTATTCTTGAGAAGGTGGGTAAACTACAACGACCAAGTATCAAATTCTACCTCCTAGTCTGAACTTGCTCAATTAGTGCATGCGCCTGCAGAAACAGAAACACAGCAGGATGTGTGGGTGAGGTGGTGGAAGAAGGGAGGGGAGGGGAAAAGGAAGAAAAGGAAGGATGAGAGGAAAGTGACGGGAGTTGGGGGTGGGGTGGGGAGGACGGACACTGGGCGTGCGCAAGAAGGCGGAGGAATGTTGCGCGTGATGGGCACATGAGGAAGAATTGACGGACTTCCCCCTTGCTAACTGTTTACGGGGACGAACCCTGCCCTGGAAAAACAGGCGCAGTCACAAGCAGGGTTCTGGGGGATGTGGGATGAAAAAGGCGGTGTTGGGTGAAACAGCCGACGGTTAAAATGGTTTGAGATTGGTGAGATGGGGTAGGGTTACATTCGGACTTGCGCATGAGCTGGCATAAAGCGAGCGCGGAATTGGTCAGCATGACAGCCTGAGTGGTTGCTTTGTCCGCGCAAGCTGACAATTTCTTGAAAGTCTGCGCGGAAGCGGGGGATTGGAGTGCCGAGGAAGCTGCGGTGAGTCCGCCGCGGCTCGTTCATTCAACCCAGTCGTCCGGGTTTGGTCTGAGATTGGCCAGCGTGGCGTGGTCGGGACGCGTGGTCTGAAAACCAGGCTGACGCGGCATTGCGTTCCCGTTTCGATTGCACCGCATAGCTTGGAGAATCCTTCTTTTAGCGACTGCAATAGCAGGTGGTACATAAACAGGTATAAGAAGATATAGAATTCCTAAATGCGACTTATTACTGATATACATAATCCATTTTATTTAGTCATTTATTATCATTAAAAAAAAACTTTTAGAGACCATCAATCTTAATTTTAGCCGCATTCAAACGATCACTTAAAGAAAGCCGCTTGTAAAGCTCACCCACTTGTACATGGCAATAGTGCTAGAATCCTCATCCGTTTGCAGCGAAGAACTCACTAGACGGGGCTCAGCGTTCCCAATGTGATGCCTTATCGAATTTTAGCATTCCTGGACAAGAGCCATGACGGACCGAGCATCTGCAGACATGAATATTTTTTTACTGGGATCGGCGGATTAAAATCAGAGAGCATGAGGGGAAACAGGGGGAACGTGAGGATGGCGAGGCCGATGGGCTGTCGTAAGGTACAGGTCAAAAGGTCGAATTCCTCGACCCTGCTCCTTCAATTATCAACGTTTGAACCGTCAACCAAGTAAGCCACATTCGATTTCCTGAGAGTGGAAGCCTTGTCGGGTGAGGGAACGACTAGCCGGCAGGATTGCCGGTCGCCAGGATGCCTGCGTGCAGCGAACAAACGCGACGAATCGCCTCTCGACCATGGGCGAGAGCATGTTTCGCTACAATAGTTCTCGTTTTAGCCTCTTTGGGAGTCACAGCCTCTGGAGAACATTCGCGGTCCACGTCAGACCTTCATTTCGGCTACCTTGAAGCTCTTTGCGGGTCATGGCATAACGAGTACATCGCCTTACACGAGCAACTCCGAGCAGCAAACAGACGAAGCAGCCTCGAGAGAGCAGGCAGAGCAGGTAGCAGAGGGAGCAACGGCCAAGAAGCTTCATCCTCTCATCCATCATCAAACCCCCTTCTCTCATCCCCTTCCCCAGCTCCCTCCCCGGGCTCCCTTTCTTCCCCCTCTCCATCGTCCTCCGCTCCCCCTGCTTCCTCCCCCTCCCCTTCCGCCTCCTTCTCCGCCTCCCCCTCCGCGCCCCCCTCCGCCTTCCCCCGCTTCCTCACCTACGAGTGGTACCACGGCTGTGGCGGCCTGGGGGACACACTCCTGGGCCTCGCCTCGACATTTGTCGTCGCGCTATTGGACGGCCGCGCACTGCTCATCCGCCACCGCTGCCTGCCCTTCGCCTTCGAGCCGAACCTTATCGACTGGAGATTCCCATCCACGTCGGCATCTGGTGGCGGCGACAACCAACCAGGATCAGCGAGCTTTGGTTCGGACGACCCTGAATCCGCCAAACCTGGATCGACCAGCCCTGGTTCGGCCGAACCTGGATTTGCCGACCCTGGATCAGCTGGCTTCCTCGGAGCAGGAGCGGAAATACATGTTGGCAATGACACAGGGGCAGATGGACCCGCTGATGAAATTCTGCTCGAACCTGCCCGGAAAATCTCGACAGAGTCGGTGATTGCGGGCAGCCCGGAAACAAAGGAGATGGGCGTGGATGACGTGCCGATGCTGGACATCCGAGACACGCAGTTCGGGAGCGTGCAGGTGGGTGGTGCTTGTGACTGTGCCTGCCTGGTTGTAGTGGCAACTGGATGGGCGTGGATGACTCGGTGAGTCGGTGCACAGAAGCAGATGGGCGTGGATGACGTGCCGATGCTGGACATCCGAGACACGCAGTTCGGGAGCGTGCAGGTGGGTGGTGCTTGTGACTGTGCCTGCCTGGTTGTAGTGGCAACCGGATGGCGTGGATGACTCGGTGAGTCGGTGCACAGAAGCAGATGGGCGTGGATGACGTGCCGATGCTGGACATCCGAGACACGCAGTTCGGGAGCGTGCAGGTGGGTGGTGCTTGTGACTGTGCCTGCCTGGTTGTAGTGGCAACCGGATGGCGTGGATGACTCGGTGAGTCGGTGCACAGAAGCAGATGGGCGTGGATGACGTGCCGATGCTGGACATGTTTCGACACGTCTCAAAACAAATCTTCATACACGCGGATGGGCGTGGATGACTCGGTGATTCGGGGCACAGAAGCAGATGGGCGTGGATGACGTGCCGATGCTGGACATCCGAGACACGCAGTTTGGGAGCGTGCAGGTGGGTGGGGTGTTTGGTTGGCATGATGGTTGAATGCGGTTGGAGGGGATGGGCGAGGATGACGTGCCGATGCTTGACATTTGAGACACACAGTTCGGGAGCTTGCAGGTGGGTGCATGATTGTGCTTGGGTGTGATGGCGATAGGAGCAGAGAGAATCAGCAGAGAGAAAAATAGATTCGACCCAGATCCAACAGACCGAGCGTACGCGCGTTTCGGCACGGTGGCAGGAGCAGAGCAGAGAGAAGCAGCAGAGATGGGCGTGGTTCAGATGATGTGCCGATGCTGGATGACTTTGAGTCGGCTCAAAAGGCAGAGATGGGCGGGTCGGATGATGTGCCGATGCTGGATGACTTTTGAGTCGACTCAAAAGGCAGAGATGAGCGTGGTTTGGATGATGTGCCGATGCTGGATGACTTTTGAGTCGACCCAAAAGTCAGAGATGGGCGTGGGTCGGATGATGTGCCGATGCTGGACACATGCAATGGTGGATGACACGCACTTTGTCAGTTTCTGAGGCTAGTTTTGAGTCGACTCAGAACTAGGCAATGGTGGGTGGATGACGTTCAATTTGTCAGTTTCTTAGGCGCCTCAAAAGGAGATGGGCCAGTTCCGCAGCGTCAGGTTGTCATGTGCAGCGTCAGGTTGTCATGTGCAGCGTCAGGTTGTCATGTGCAGCGTCAGGTTGTCATGTGCAGCGTCAGGTTGTCATGTGCAGCGTCAGGTTGTCATGTGCAGCGTCAGGTTGTCATGTGCAGCGTCAGGTTGTCATGTGCAGCGTCAGGTTGTCATGTGCAGCGTCAGGTTGTCATGTGCAGCGTCAGGTTGTCATGTGTCATTTTTTAGCATTCTAAAAGACGACTGCCTGCACACCCCCTCAACCCCGCCCAGGAGACCTTCACGCCCTACAGCAAGTTTCGCAACGTCAGGCTGTGACATGTTAATGCAACCCTCACCACCCGCCACTCCCAACCCCAACCCCAACACCCCCCCCCCCCCGCCCAGGAGACCTTCACGCCCTACAGCAAATTCCGCAACGTCAGGCTGTCGTGGAATCGGGGCGTGCTGACTCAGATGCTGACGGAGGAGCAGAGCGAGTGGGCGGCACGGCTCCGCACCACCGGGTTGCGTCCACCGTACGCTCTCGGCTGTATCCTGCGCTTCCTACTCAAGTGAGGCTGTACGAGGCAGATAGCTACCTAGGCAAACAATGCTTGGATTAGTGCGACAAGGGCTGGGTCTTTGAGCCGCTGCGTTGCATTGCACCCACCGTACGCTCTTGGCTTTATCCTGCGCTTCCTATTTAAGTGAGGCTGTAAGAGGAAGATAGCATCATGGGAAGAGTCAATTACAGTCAGGTTCGCGCTTCTCTGCATGCACCTGACACCCCTGTTCCAAGGTTCCTGCCATTTCCACTTTGCTTCTCTGTGAGAAGAGTCGATCCCATGAGAAGGCGACTGTACAGTCATGTTCACTTCCTGCCCTGACAGGATTCTAAGGCACCTTCCCGCCCTCTTCCCCTCTCCCCCCCCTTCGTATGTTTCTTCCCAGACCTAATGCAGAGGTTCGGCAGCTTCTGAGTGGCCTGGAGAGGGAGGTGCATGCACCTGGTGTGGTGACAATTGGAGTTCACATCAGATTCACTGATGGGACAGTGTGGGAAGGTGAAAGTTTCGTTCCTTGAGAGCATAGTGTAGGAAAAGGAGGTGAGGGACCAGGAGAGGGAGGTGCATGCACCAGGCTTGGTAACTACTGGCGTTCACATCAGATTCACTGATGGGGCGGTGTGGGAAGGTGAGAACGTGTAGTGCCTGTGAGAACGTGTCGTGCCTGTGAGAACGTGTCGTGCCTGTGAGAACGTGTCGTGCCTGTGAGAACGTGTCGTGCCTGTGAGAACGTGTCGTGCCTGTGAGAACGTGTCGTGCCTGTGAGAACGTGTCGTGCTCACGATTTGGCTGGGTGGGTGACCATCTGTGTTCACATCAGATTCACTGATGGGGCGGCGTGGAAAGGTGAGAGTCTCGTGCATGTGAGGCTGAGAGCAAGTGGCGTGAAGAGGGGAGGCGCATGCACCTGGCTTGGTGACCATCTGTGTTCACATCAGATTCACTGATGGGACAGTGTGGGAAGGTGAGAACGTAGTGACTGTTAGGAAGGAGCAAGCTGAGAGGTAAGTACTTCTTGTGGTTTATAACAGGTGTGATAGTGCTCATCAGTCCTAAATTTTAGCGAGGTTATTGCAGGGTCTCTTTCTACATCATACAGCATCAACTATTTCGCTTTGACTCCCATGTCATGTGAGGATTCTTTCCTTCTTGGCAATGCAATGCCTTTTCTGTACTATGCCGTTTCTGTACTATGCCTTTTCTGTAGCTCTTCCACATGAGTGAGTGAGTGAACCTTGAGTAAGTGGGTGCTTAAGTAAGTGCCTCCTAAGAGTCTGCACTCACTGAGGGAGGATGGCTTAGGCCTTGTTGTACGTCGCTTATGATAATTCTTTGCCTCAATCTCATCTCATCCCATTCCGTCCCATCTCATCTCATGCCATCCCATCCCATCCCATCCCATCTCATCCCATTCCTTCACATCCCATTGCACCGCATTGCACCACGTCAGGGGAGGGCGAAGATGCTCCCAAGCAGCTGGGCGAGGCTGAGGTCGAGAGGCTCATGCAGGTGGCCCGCCCGCTGCTGAGCTGCACTCAGGTGCGCTGCTGAGCTGCACTCAGGTGCGCTGCTGAGCTGCACTCAGGTGCGCTGCTCATCCCAACCGCTGTAGGTTCATACTGTGCGTGCAACAGCACATTGCTGCATTGACTGCTAGAGTGGCTGCTGTAGCAGTCGCTTCACTAATTGCTACAGCTGCTGCTGCCCCTCCCCTCACGCTCTTGTCTCCTCCCCACCCACTCCGTACTGGTGCTTCCTTCCAAGCAGTGGAGCACTGGCGGTTCCCCCCTCAACTGCAAGTGCGGTAACTTCCAATAGTGGCCCTCTTCCTCCCACACTCGTATCCTACCCGACTTTTGAGGCGCCTCAAAAGTCCCCTCAACTGCAAGGGCGGTAACTTCCAATAGTGGCCCTCTTCCTCCCACACTCGTCTCCTACCCGCCCGCTCCGTACTCGACTCGTGCTTCTTTCCTTCCAGGCAGTGGAGCACTGGTGGTTTCCCCCTCCCCTGGAAGTGCGCTGGCTCATTATCACAAACTTAGATTAACCGCCCCCCCTTCCATCATCTTGTCTCCTACCCACCCACTCTGCGCCCATGCTCCCCCCCCCCCCAGGCAGTGGAGGACTGGTGGTTCCCCCCTCCCCTGGAAGTGCGCTGGCTCATTATCACAAACTTAGATTAACCGCCCCCCCTTCCATCATCTTGTCTCCTACCCACCCACTCTGCGCCCATGCTCCCCCCCCCCCAGGCAGTGGAGGACTGGTGGTTCCCCCCTCCCCTGGAAGTGCGCTGGCTCATTATCACAAACTTAGATTAACCGCCCCCCCTTCCATCATCTTGTCTCCTACCCACCCACTCTGCGCCCATGCTCCCCCCCCCCCAGGCAGTGGAGGACTGGTGGTTCCCCCCTCCCCTGGAAGTGCGCTGGCTCATTATCACAAACTTAGATTAACCGCCCCCCCTTCCATCATCTTGTCTCCTACCCACCCACTCTGCGCCCATGCTCCCCCCCCCCCAGGCAGTGGAGGACTGGTGGTTCCCCCCTCCCCTGGAAGTGCGCTGGCTCATTATCACAAACTTAGATTAACCGCCCCCCCTTCCATCATCTTGTCTCCTACCCACCCACTCTGCGCCCATGCTCCCCCCCCCCAGGCAGTGGAGGACTGGTGGTTCCCCCCTCCCCTGGAAGTGCGCTGGCTCATTATCACAAACTTAGATTAACCGCCCCCCCTTCCATCATCTTGTCTCCTACCCACCCACTCTGCGCCCATGCTCCCCCCCCCCCAGGCAGTGGAGGACTGGTGGTTCCCCCCTCCCCTGGAAGTGCGCTGGCTCATTATCACAAACTTAGATTAACCGCCCCCCCTTCCATCATCTTGTCTCCTACCCACCCACTCTGCGCCCATGCTCCCCCCCCCCAGGCAGTGGAGGACTGGTGGTTCCCCCCTCCCCTGGAAGTGCGCTGGCTCATTATCACAAACTTAGATTAACCGCCCCCCCTTCCATCATCTTGTCTCCTACCCACCCACTCTGCGCCCATGCTCCCCCCCCCCCAGGCAGTGGAGGACTGGTGGTTCCCCCCTCCCCTGGAAGTGCGCTGGCTCATTATCACAAACTCGATGGATTTTAAGATTGCCATGCATCAACAGTATCAAAATAAGGTGATTCTGATAAACATTTCCCCTTCTTTAAAATTAGACATTGATCAACAGTATCAACATAAGGTGGGTACATGGCAACACCGATGTGTAAAGGGTATTCTTACCAGTTTCATTTCTATCTTCGCATTGTATCAGTTTTTGTTATTTACCACCCCCTCCCCCTCCCCTTCCCTTCCCCCTCCCCCTTTCCCCCCCCCCACCTTCCTCCTCTCCCTCTTTCTACCATGTCTCTTTCCCCAAAACCTTGTTGCTCTCTGTCCTCAAATTTCCTATCTGTTCGCTCCTTTAATGTTTTCAATTTCTTTGCTTCGCCAGCACAATTTATGAAGCTATTGAGGCATTTTTTGTCGGGCTTATGTCTGATTGGTATGGCTAGAGTGATGATGGTTTTCGCTGTTCTCTTACCACACCCCTCCAAAACTTTTTCATTCCTGGTTATGTCGCATGCAGGTTGTTACAACCCCATTCACTCCCCGCCATTCTAATAAGCTGAGTGACAATGCCATTAGCACAAATGCCACCTCAAAGGTCTTAGGCAGTGACATTAAGGCATATCAGGAACTTGTTGCTGATTGGTTGCTGCTGTCGACGTGTCACTCCTTCGTTATTCCTACATCAGGATATTCTCGAACTGCGGCATACTTCTCGCTAAGACCTAGCAGCGTATTTAGTGGTGACACTAGGACTTGCAACCCTGAAGCACCTGTCAATATGTTTTATCTAGCGCACTCCTGGAGTGGCTTGTAACCGTGTACTGTGTACACTAATATCACTCGTTGGAATCTCGCATTCCGTCAGATGCTTTTGTCGAATCTGTCGCGTCACTGGTTGAATATCTCTCATCGCCCTGCCCTCCGATTGGCGCATCCCTCATCAGTCTGCTCCGCTGTCCTCCGTCCATTCCAGTGACTCGGAGCAGATATTGTCCCATGATGCAATGCGCCCTATTGACCAGGGAGGGGCTCGACGGACAGTGTAGTGCAACGAATAGAAAGCCGTTGCTGAAGCGAATAAAACCGTTCTGACTTGCTTTAAACCACCTGAAACCATTCCAGCTTTTGAACCTCGCCCCCGAAAGTGCCCGTTGATCCCAAAAGTGAGGAAAAGGCACCGCCAGCCAACCACGTCTCAGCGAAGGTGTGAACTTCTAGGATGGTCTGAGGTGTTTGGGATGGGTCAAGCTGGGTTCTGTAAAGTTGGTTTGGTTTGGACTTTGGATACCTTCGGCGCTGTCAAGCTGGAGACTTGGAGGCAAGCACACGACTTGTGTCTTTGTGGTATGCATGGAGACAAGTAGGCTTTGTAGGCAGAAAGGTAGGTACTAGTTGCGGATCCCTAGGCATGGACTAGTTAGTAGAAGCGAGTGATTGAATATCCAACTGCCGCATTGTGAGCACGTTTGTCCATTGTCGCCACATTGTCGAGTAGTAACGGCCGTCGATTTCGATATTGGTGCACAATTTAGGCCGTTTATTCATCTCCAAAATTGACTGCCCCCAAACACTCCCGAGGGAGTCTTTCTGGACACTTACTGTCCCCAAATACTAAGTTAGTATCTCCAGCAAAGCGCCGCATATAATGGAGCGAGACGACCCGGTATTAGTTGTTCTTATAGCGAGCTGCATGACCTTTTCTCAATTTGCATTCCACTTACAAGACGACGCACATCCGAGCGGCGCTTACGTAAGCAATTTCAACGTTCTCATCCGATCCGCGACGCTCATCCACGCGTTTCTTGAGAGCTGCAAGAGCCACCGCGGATGGGGAGAGTGCACGGATGCGGCAAAGACGGCGTTTCAGGCGCTAGAGGGCGTGCTTCGGCGATGCACGGGGGTCATGCAGCGATGCATCAGCGCACGCAGCAGGCTGCTTCAGGTGAGGTGACTTCTGAGCTGACTCAAAAGTCACGGTGGGTGGGGAGAGTCCACGGATGCGGCGAAAACGGCGTTTTAGACGCTAGAGGGCGTGCTTCGGCGATGCACGGGGGTCATGCAGCGATGCATCAGCGCACGCAGCAGGGAAACTTCAGGTGAAACTTCAGAGTCGTTTGGGTAAGATTTGGGATGTAGTTGTCTGCTTTGGGAGCAATAAATCGAGGGTATGACTAATCTCTTGCTGCGAGGGTGTTCCAGCAGCGTTCATGCAATTCTGCTCCCATGCCCCCCTGTTCCTTCCCCTCTTGTCTCATCTCCATTCCCCTCCTCGCCCGTCGTCTCCTCGCCCGTCGTCTCCTCTTCCCTACTAGGAAGTAGTACTTTCCTTCCCTCCCCGCTCCCCTGCTCTCCTCTCACCTCCTCTTCCTCCTCTTCTCTCCTCTCCGCTCCTTTCCTTTCCTCTCCTCCCATCCACCACCAACAGCTGGTAGCAGACTCACCAATGAGCGCGAGCCACTTCAGCAGCATCCATGCCGACCTGGCAGCGTGCCTCTCGTCCCTGCCGACCGACAACCTACCTGCTGATGCAAGAGAGCAGGTAAGTTATGTCCACCAGGTAAGTTATGTCCACCAGGTAAGTTATGTCCACCAGGTAAGTTATGTCCACCAGGTAAGTTATGTCCACCAGGTAAGTTATGTCCACCAGGTAAGTTATGTCCACCAGGTAAGTTATGTCCACCAGGTAAGTTGCTGATCAGTTTGATCTGAACCACCATTTTGTTTCGTCCTTTTCCTCGTTCGAGTCTGACTCAACAGCCGTCCGTGCCGGCCTGCCTGCTCACGCGAACTAACAGGTAGACTCGTCTCTAGGCAATTCTAGCCGTCGTTCCGCCCCCCTCTCTCCCCGTTCATCTCTCTCTCCCTTCCCGCCGCCCTCCTGCCCTCCCTCCATCCTGCAATTCCTCCCTCCCTCCCTCCCTCCATCCCTCCCTCCCTCCCTCCCTCCCTCCCTCCCTCCCTCCCTCCCTCCCTCCCTCCCTCCCTCCCTCCCTCCCTCCTTCCCTCTCTCCCTCCCGCCCTCGCTGCACCGCTTCTATACTCCCTCTCACCTATCCATCATCACATGTTCTTCCGTGCCTCTTCTTCTCGTCTCGTCCTTCCACTCTTCCAGCTCGCGGCCATCCAGCAACACATACAAGCGGCCACCTCCACAGACCTGCTATCGCCGCAGGTCCACCGGGAATCGCTCAGCTTATCCGCCCATCATATTTTGTTCTTCCTTATCCCTTCCCTCCCTCCTCTCCTCCCGCACCGCAACATCCCAGCTCGCGCCCATTCAGCAGCACATACAAACGGCCAGCTTCACAGAGCTGCTATCGCCACAGGTCAACCGGGAATTTCAGATCCTCGTGCAAAGTGACTCCTCTGCCTCTGGTGACGCGTCTACGTCCCTTCATGCCTCTGGTGATGCATCTGCCTCTGCTTCCAGTGATTCCTCTGATTCCCCCGATGTCACTTCTTACCGTGATGCCTCTCCGCCTGGCGATGAATCTCCTGGCCGCAGCAGCACTGGTAAGGGCGGCAGCGGCAGCAGCAGCGGCAGCAGCAGCAGCAGCAGCAGCAGCAGCAGTGGCGGCGGCGGCGGCGGCATCAGTGGTAACGGCAGTACTACTGGCAGCAGCAGCAGTAGCAGCCAAAGCAGTAAGGGTGAGAGGAAATCCAGGCGAAGCAAGGGCAAAGGTAGTAGCAGTGATGGTTCTATTGCTAGAGACGCCAGCAACAGCGCCAACAGCAGCAGCAGCAGCGGTCTGATGTTTAGAAGAAGCAGCAGCGTCAGCAGCAGCAGCAACGGCGACGGCGACGGCGGCGGCGGCGGCGGCGGCAGCAGCAGCAGTGTGATGTTTAGAAGCAGCAGCTGCAGCAGCAGTAACAGGCGATACTGCCTGCAGAGCATGGATACAGTGGAGGAAGCAGAAGAGGCGGAGGAGGAGTTGATGGAAGGGGAGGGGGAGGGGGATACAGTGGGTGAAGCGGGAGAGGCGGACGGGGGTTTGGTGGAGGAGGAGGGAGCAGAGGATACAGAGGATGAAGCAGGGGAAGAAGGTGAGGGAGAGAAAGGGAAGAAGGGATGCGCGGATAAGGAAGCGGGGGAGGGAGAGATCGAGGACGAGGGCGATGGAGTGGCGAAGGGAGAAGGAGCGGAAGGAAGAGGGGAAGGAAGAGATGAAGGGGGGGATGCGAATGGGAAGGGCCAGGATGAGGAGGGCTCAATCGAAGAGGGTTCCAAGGAGGAGGGTGTAGACGAGGAGAGTTTTAAGGAGGAGGGCTTACAGGAGGTGGAGAAGGAAGAGGGGGGAGAGCTGGATAAGGAGGAGGAAGGCGGGACTACTGAGTCAAAGCCTGCAACTGCTGTGAAAATGAAAGAATCACGCGGCGAGGCAGAAAGCATCAAGGATGCTGCGATGGCGGCTCTATTAGGGTTTGTAGAGGACACGTTCTGGGTGAAGGGAAACGCCCTTAGCATGCGCGGAGGGAGAAGCTGGCAGGCTTTTGAGTCGACTCAAGAGGACACGTTCTGGGTGAAGGGAAACGCCCTTAGCATGCGCGGAGGGAGAAGCTGGCTGGGTGGGACAGAGAAGGGCGAGAGTGTAGGAGGAAGGGAGAAGAAAGAACGAAAGGAAGGGGAAAAGGAGGAGGAGGTGGGAGAGAAGGGAAAGGAGGAGGGGGGCGACAGCGGGAAGGGTTCGCCTGCAGAGTATGCAGCAGGGAGGTTGGCGATGCTGCTGGGGATGGACTCGTTGGGGTCGTTTGAGGAGGAGAGGCAGGCTCTGGCTCTGGAGGCACGGCGGGCGGAGGAGGCAGGGGACGAGCAGCGGGCGAGCATGGTGGCGCAGGTGAGATGTGGCTAGTTAAAACACATGCTTTTTCAGAGTATGCGGCAGGGAGGTTGGCGATTCTTCTGGGTTTGGACTCGTGGCAATCGTTTGAGGAGGAGAGTGAGGCTTTGGCGCTTGGGGCACGGCGGGCGGAGGAGGCAGGGGATGAGCAGCGGGCGAGCATGGTGGAACAGGTCAGTGTGATATGGCTGGTTTATTGGAGTGGAAAATGCTGGCTGGTTTTGCAGTAAACTATAAATGTGGTCGAATCTTGTGTCGACTAAAGACCGGACGAGCAGCGGGCGAGAGTATGGCATGGATGGTGGAGCAGGTGAGAAGAGGGTGAGGGGGTCGTTTGAGGAGGAGAGTGAGGCTTTGGCACTTGGGGCACGACGGGCGGAGGAGGCAGGGGATGAGCAGCGGGCGAGCATGGTGGAACAGGTCAGTGTGATATGGCTGGTTTATTGGAGTGGAAAATGCTGGCTGGTTTTGCAGTAAACTATAAATGTGGTCGAATCTTGTGTCGACTAAAGACCGGACGAGCAGCGGGCGAGAGTATGGCATGGATGGTGGAGCAGGTGAGAAGAGGGTGAGGGGGTCGTTTGAGGAGGAGAGTGAGGCTTTGGCGCTTGGGGCACGTCGGGCGGAGGAGGCAGGGGATGAGCAGCGGGTGAGCATGGTGGAACAGGTCAGTGTGATATGGCTGGTTTATTGGAGTGGAAAATGCTGGCTGGTTTTGCAGTAAACTGTAAATGTGGTCGAATCTTGTGTCGACTAAAGACCGGACGAGCAGCGGGCGAGAGTATGGCATGGATGGTGGAGCAGGTGAGAAGAGGGTGAGGGGGTCGTTTGAGGAGGAGAGTGAGGCTTTGGCGCTTGGGGCACGTCGGGCGGAGGAGGCAGGGGATGAGCAGCGGGCGAGCATGGTGGCGCAGGTGTGATGTGGACAAACGTTTCTATCTTGTTTTGTGCCGAGGGATGTGGTTGGGGAGGGGAGGATGAGTTACACCTGAAATGGGAGGCGCTGGTGCTGGATTCACGGCGAGCAGAGGAGGCAAGAGATGAGCAGCGGGTGGTGAGGTGGCGTAAAGGAGGGAGCAAACACCAAGTGCTGCTGTCATGATCCTCGTCTCGTGTTTCTACTCCCACCACCCGTGCTCACTGCTCACACTTCTCCTTTACCCCCCCACACCATTCTTCTTCCTTTCTCCGTTCTCCCTTCCCCTGCAGCTCACCATTCTCCTGCGGGCCATGCAGCAGCAGGTGGGGCAACTGAAAGGAAAAGTCGAGCATTGACTTTTGAGATGTCTCTAAAATCGCCCCCCCCCCCCCCCCTTCCCCCTTCCCCCTTTCCCCTTACTCCCCGCAGCTCACCATTCTCCTGCGGGCCATGCAGCAGCAGGTGGGGCAGCTGAAAGCAGGAGAAGGGCAGGGCCAGGGCGAGGCAGGGGGGAAGGGAGAGGGAAAGGCAGAGGGAGGCGGTGTAGCTGCAGGAGTGGCAGCAGCAGCGAGGGCGTTTATCACTCCAGAATACCTTGCTGCTGTGAGGGGTCAGAGGAGAGGGGGCAAGGATGGGATGTCGCTCACGCATGTATCGCCCAGGGTCCAACTCAAATCGCCCAGAGATGTTAAACCGCCTAGAGACCTCAAATTGCCCAGAGATCATAAATCGCCCAGAGATCATAAATCGCCCAGGGATCATAAATCGCCCAGGGATCATAAATCGCCCAGGGATCATAAATCGCCCAGGGATCATAAATCGCCTACTACAGATATTATATCCCCAAGAGACCCAAAAGATCGAAACTCGCTTGCGGATGCAGCCACTCTCACCGCCCCTCTCTCCGCTCCTCTCTCCACTCCTCTCACGGCCCATCCATTCACTGAGCGCCGTTCATCCCACCGCTTCGTCCCACCCCCACCGCTGCAAATCAGCAACTCGTTAGACCCCCTCTCAGGTCTCCCCATCCTTGAACCCCTGCCAGATCTCACCGTTCTCGACCCCTTTCAACCCCTCTCCTCCCTTGACCCCCTCGCCTTTACCAGTGCCCAGCCAAGCCCCCCCATCTCCCCATGGGCTGTCCCTCCTTCGCCCTGGGATCCCACTGCTATGGTCAACGCCAGCCTCTTTAGCCCTGTGGGCATGGCGTGTGGTGCTGCAGAAATCCATAATGCTGCAGAAAGGGCTAATGCTGCAGCAGCGGTTAACGCTCTTCCCTCCGTCTTTCACTCTACTCCTTCCGCACTAGTTGCTGCACCAGGTGATCTGATGTTTCCTGGCCTGCTGACGGGTATTGCAGATGCTTCTGCTGCTGGTAGTGCTGCTGCTCTATTTGACCACTTATCCTCACAGCCCGGCTCGTCCCCGCTGTCAGCAGACCCGTTAGTAGTGCCATTTTCATCCGTCCCTGTAGCTGAACCTCTTGCTCCTGCCTCCTCCCACCGACGAACAAAGGAGAGGCGTGAGCAAAAGCATCACCAGCAACAGCAACCCCACGTGTCCTCCCAACCACTCCACCCCTTTGCCACCCTCCCTCTTTCCATCCAGTCTCTCATCTCTCCCTCCGAAGCAGGAGCTACTGGTGGGGCAGGTGTTACTGGTGGCAGCAATAGACGCAGCAAGAACAATACCTTTGGTGACGAAGGGGAGGGCAGAAGGAGAAGCACAGGGGACACGGCGAGGAGAGATAGAGAGGGAGCTACCAATCCGCGTCCCCCGCCAGATGCTGCCAAGTTTTTGCCGCCCATGAGGCGGCTTCTAGCCGACGCGGACCAGGAGAAGGGCGGCAACCCGAGCTTCCAGCGGTGGGCCTTGACTGGCTTGGAGGTGCCTGAGGATATTAAAGACATGGGGATGGGCAGAGGCGCAGGGGAGATTAAAGACGTAGGAGAGGTGGGAATGATACGGCTCATGGAGCATGCTCGTCAGGCTCGGGAGGCTTGTGAAGTTCGGGAGGCTCGGGAGGCTCGTGAAGCTGTGGAAGGCTCGGGATGGGATGCTGGAAGTGAGAGCAGTGGGATTCATGGGATGGTGGGGAGGAGGAGGAGGGAGAGTAGTGGGACTGGTGGTGGGGTAGGCAGAAGAGAGGGTGGTCTAGGAAGTGCAGTGCATGGTGACACGGCAGGAAGGGAGAATGGCAGGGAGGGCGAGGACGCCTGGTATGATAAGTCGATTTGTGAGTCGACTCAAAAATCGACTTATCACGCAGTGCATGGTGGCACAGCAGGAAGGGCGAATGGCAGGGAGGGTGAAGACGCCTGGTATGGCATAGCAGGGAGGGGAAGGAGGTCGCCTCGCGCCCCTAGTGGTGCAACCAGGTTCGGTGCTGGTGGTGGTGCTGCTGCTGCTGCAGCTGGTGGTAAGGAGGGTAAATGCAGTGGCGTGCTCATTGGTTCTAGTCAGGGGGTCGTCCTTAGTGACAGCAGTGGCAGCAACGCTAGCAGCAGCACTGGCAGCAGCGGTGGATTCCAGATTGGAAGTAGCAGTGGTGCTGGGACTAGCAGTAGCAGGAGTGGGTTCCAGGCGGACGGCTTGAGTGAGCAGCTAGCGCTGATCAACGCACAGCTGGAGCAGGTGTATCTGGAGGAGGCTTATCTGCAGCAGGCGCAATCAGGGGGAGGGGCGGAGTGTAGGGAGGGGAGAGGCGTGAGGAGAGAATCGGGGAGTGCAAAAGAGAGGAGCTGTCAAGGAGAGGAGAGGTCTATGTTTGCGCCGACTCGGGAATTCGGCAGTGCAAAAGAGAGGAGCAGTCGGGGGAAGGAGAGGCAAGGGGTGAACAAAGGAGGACCGGTGGAGAGAGTGAGGGACGAGATAGCATTAGCTGCTGCTGGTGCTGCTGGTCGTTGTGGTGGTGATGGTGAGGGCGAGACTTCCTTTGATGGTTTCCCTGTTGTGCACTCTCTGCCAGAGCTCCCTCAACCGCACCTCCATCCTTTCCCTCACTCCCGCTCTCACTCTCACTCCCACTCTCACTCGCACTCACACACACAATCTCACCCGCACCCCCTCTCTCACTCTCACTCTCGCTCTCGCTCTCACTCTCACTCTCACTCTCGCCCTCGAGACGCAGCAGAATGGTCTGACCCTAGGCAGCACACGAGCAGCAGGGCGCAAGGCAGTCAGGGAAACAGAAAAACCTACCAGAACAGCCTAAGTTACAGCCCACGGGACAACCCCGGGAACAGCCTAAGTTACAGCCCAAGGGAAAACCCTGGGAACACCGGCAGGGAGCAGAGCATGGGCAGGAGGCGGACGAGTCCACGGGATGGGAATGGGCCTCATGGGCTGACCATGACCATCCCAGAGAATCAAGATTCTTTTGGGGACCTTGTGAACCCCAGAGACCTGATAAGCCCCAGAGACCATGTGAGTCCGAGAGACCATGTGAGTTTGAGAGACCTGATAAGCCCCAGAGAACGTACTAGTCATAAGGTGAAATCCAGCCCACGAGGGCATGCAAGCAGAAAAGAGTTGCCGAGTCGGAGAGAACATGCTAGCAGCAGGAAAGATCTACCCAGCCCAAGAGAGAATACGAGCAGCAAGATAGAGCTGCCAAGTCCGAGAGGATGTGCCAGCAGCTGGAAAGACGTACCCAACCCAGGAGAGCATGCTAGCAGAGAAACGTTGCCCAGTCCACGAGAGCATACGAGCAGTAAGTTAGAGGTGCCTAGCCCAAGAGAACGCGCCAGCAGCAAGAAAGACCAGCCAAGCCCAAGAGATCATCGGAGCAGAAAAGAGGTGCCCAGCCCAAGAGAGCATACTGGCAGCAATATAGAGCTGCCGGGTCCGAGAGAACGTGGCAGCAGCAAGAAAGATCTGCCCTGTCCCAGGAATTCAAGGAGCTTGTCTGTCAGTCCGGCTGATGCACCTGCACCAGGTGTACCTGCATCAAATATACCTGCGCCAGATGTGATGTCCATTGACCCGAGGGCACCGGCTCAGGTGGTTTTGAGGGTGCTGCAGGGGACGAGAGAGGAGCAGGGGAAGGCGGCTGGGGTGATTGGGTGGTTCTGCGCGTCCTCTGCTGCTAACAGGGCGGCTTTTAGAGAGGCGGGTGCTGTAGAGGCGCTGCTGCAGCTGGCTACTGCTGATGGTGGAGATGGCAGACTTGGCAGTCCACGTGGCAGTCCACAAGGCAGTCCACATGGCAGTCCACGTGGCAGTCCACGTGGTGGTTCGCATGCTGCCATGGATGCGCTCCTGAGGCTGTCAGCTGATGTGGAGAGCCAGGAGCGGCTGCTGCTCCACCTTCCTCTGCTTGTTCAGGTGAAATTCTGGTGAAATGTTGGCGAGATTCTGGTGAGCTTCTGGTGAGCTTTATTTGTCTTTCTAATGAGCTGCTGATGCTGTGAAGCAGCAGGGGGATCTGCACTGCACCACTCAGGACAGAGGGGTATCTATTGCATCATATGATATGAAGGACAGGGCATTCTATGTCTGAAGCACTCCTCCTCCCAAATGGCGCAGGGCACAGTGAGCAGCAGCATCATCAGCGTCAGTGCTTCGCTCTCCCCACCTCACTCCCCTCCGTTTCTCGCATCCCATACTTTCCTCCCATGCTCCTCCCCTCCCGCACTGCCTGAACAGTTCTTCCTCCTCCCCAGCAGCACAGGCCAGACTCAACAACATCGTCAGCGCCAGTGCCTCGCTCTCCCCATTTCATCCCCTCCCTGTCTGCCCCTTTTTTCTCACCTCCCTCTCTTCCCTCCCATGCGCTTCCCTTCCCCCAGTGCCAGCAGCGTTCCTCCTCCTTCCCAACTGCCGAGGCCAGAGTCAGCAGCATCATCCGCGCCACAGCCTCGCTCTCCCCATCCCACCCGCACCCTATCTATCCCCCTTTTCTCGCCTCCGTTTCTGCCCGCCCCCCTCCCACACACTTCCTTTCCCACGGTATCTGAAGCGCTCCTCCTCCTTCCCAACTTCCCAGGCCAGACTCAGCGCCAGCCACTGCCTCGCTCTTCCCATCACAACCCCCGTACGTCCTCACCTTCTTTTCTCACCTTCCTTTCTCACCTTCCTTTCTCACCTCCCTTTCGCCCCGCCCTTCCACTACCCCTCCTCCAGTGTTTCAAGCGCTCTTCTTCCTCTCCAGCAGCGCAGATCAAACTCAGCAGCATCGTCAGCAATACGGCCTCGCTCTCTCCGCACGCCCGATCTCAGCTCGTGCAAGCAGGGGCGCTCAAACCGCTCCTCAAACAGCTCGCGAAAGGGGCGAGCAGATGGGCCATGGACAAGGAGAAAGGCCTGAGCGGAGAGAAAGCAGGAGAGGGAGAGACGACAGGCATGGGATGTGGTTCGGGAAGAGAGGCTCGGATGGCGAGGCAAGCAGCAGCCGAGGCTGTGGCGAGCCTCTCGCTCTCCGACTCCTGCTGCTCCTTCCTCCTGACTCACGACTCCATCCCCATCCTCACTCTCACTCTCGAAGCCTCCCTTGATTCTGCTGATTGGGGTACCACTCTCCCTCTCTGCTCCACACTCGCTGCACTAGCAGCGTTCTCCCAGGACAGTCCTGCAGCAGAAGCGGCTAAGGCGAGGGAGAGCGTAGGAGAGGCGATTCCAAGCCTGGTGCATGTGCTGACAGCCTTTGCCTCCTATGCCTCCTATGCCTCGAATGCTGCTTCATTGTCAAACGGGGGTGGAGAGGAGGGGAGGCGGAGTGAGGAGGCGGTGAGGGCGGTGTTGCAGGCGCTGGTGGTGATGGCGGGGTGTGGCGAGGAGCACAGGAGGAGTATGAGGAGCTGTGGGGCTGTATGTGCTCTAAGGGAGGTGGTGCGGTTTGCACCGACAGACGTGCAGGGGATGGTGAGTGCTGGGGCAGGTGGGTGCTGGGGGTGATCAATGCGGGCAGGTGAGTGAGTAATTGATGGCGGGGTGTGGTGCGGAGCACAGACGCAGCATGAGGAGCTGTGGGGCCGTGTGTGCTCTGCGGGAGGTGGTGTGGTTTGCTCCGACAGACGTGCAGGAGATGGTGAGTAAAGTACTGTGATAAATTGTTGAGTGCTGCGCAGGTGAGTGAATGGGTCCCTCATCTGCCTCACACCTGCCTCACACCTGTCTCTGCCTTATGGCAGAGTGGGTCACTTATGGCAGGGTGTGGGGCAAAACACAGACGTGCAGAGGCAATTGGGTGCTGGGCGGGTGACTGGTAGAGATGGTGAGTGTCTGTGAAGTAAACCGCCCTCGCCTCCCACTCACGTCTGCACTCACATGCACTCACATCCACTCACACATGCACTAACACATGCACTCACACAAGCACTCACACACGCACTCACAGCCAATCAGGGGGACCCATGTTCATATGCATGTGTATCCAACAGTTCATGTAGACATTATTTGTACTGTTTATGTAGGCGTGCATCTAACTCTGCATGGTCTCATTTTCATGCCCATCCGTGCCCATTCGTGCCCATCCGTGCCCATCCGTGCCCCAACATGCCCCTCCGTGCCCCTCCGTGCCCCACCGTGCCCCACCGTGCCCCACCGTGCCCCACCATGCCCCTCCGTGCCCCACCGTGCCCCACCGTGCCCCTCCTTGCCCCTCCGTGCCCCTCCGTGACCCTCCGTGCCCCTCCATGCCCCTCCGTGCCCCACCGTGCCCCACCGTGCCCCTCCGTGCCCCACTGTGCCGCTCCTTGCCCCTCCCTGCCCCTCCGTGTCCCACCGTGGCCTTGCGTGCCCCTCCGTGCTCCTCCGTGCCCATCTGTGCCCCTCCATGCCCTTCTGTGCCCCTCCGTGCCCCTCCGTACCCCTCCGTACCCCTCCGTGCCCCTCCGTGCCCCTTGTTCCTGCAGGCTATGGACCTCCTGCGCGCATTCTTCATATAATCCTGTTTTGAGTCGACTCAAGATATGATTCTTCATGTAATCCTTATGTTGGTATCAGCTTCAAAGTACAATTGTATATGTACTTATCCAAGTTCAAAGAGAACAGGTGACAGGTCACACTTGACTATATGTACTTATGAAAGTCCAAACCAACCGACGCTTATGGCCGATGGGTTTCTTATCAGGACAGGATCTGATCTGATCTCATTCATGGCTCATTCAGAGGACGCCCACCAGCCGCCCGCTTCCTGCCCAGTCCTTGGGAGTGCCACAATGAACGACCATGGACCAGAAAGGAATGGATGTAATTTTTATCAAATGTGTATAGAACCCACCCCACCCCCCCAACCCCTTCAAAGGTTTTATTCAGAGAGCCGCCCGCCGCCCGCTGCCTGCCCAGTCCTTGGGAGTGCCCAATGAACAACCGTGGACCAGAAGGGAACGGAAGTAATTTGTAATCAGAGGTTATATAAATACTACCACCCCACCCCTCCAACCTCTCCTACCCCCGCCTACCTTCCTCTCCCCTCTTAGCCAACCAATACATGAAGTGATGCCTTTGCTCCAGCCAAGTTGATTGTGATGCCCCTTTTTTATGTGGTGTGTACAAAGCAAGGGGTACGGCCGATGAAAGACGAGTGGGGAGGGTGCATGCCGCTTCTTTGAAATATAATGGTTGCAAAGCCACGATTCAATATTACTACGAACAATAAGCAAGGATAATAAGTGAAAGTAGAATACATAAGGGCAGCAAAGCAAGTGAAGCACACCAGAGGTAGATAGGCAACTAGGTCATGTGAGTAGCCCAAGCTATCACCCCTAGTGCTGCTCCGCCCACGATGGCGAGAGGAGGAGAAATCTGAAAAGGATCACACACACACACACACACACACACACACACACACACACACACACACACGCACGCACACACACCCACACATACACACATACACACGCACGCACGCACACACACACACACACACGCACGCACGCACGCACGCACACACAAACACACACACACACACACACACACACACACACAAGTAGTGCAGGGACCACGCACGCCATGATTAACAAGTGTAAGAAGAACACCTGACAGATGCAGTTCTCCTTTATCTCAACGGGGAGGGTAGACCCTTGTGCAAAATAGCTAGACTTATGAAAGGCAGTGTTTTAGAGCATGTGGTGCCAAGGTTAGGAAGAGGACGTAGAAAGATGGAAAGTGGTTGATAGAGGTGGGAGAGGGTGCGTACTTTGAGGAAGCTAGTGCTAGCGTATCCAAACATGCCGATGCAGAGTGATGCCATGGGGAAGGGGCTGACTTTGTATGCCTTGAGACCCAGAGAGAACGCAGATGCCCAGATGAGACCGATCTGGACAGGGATGGAAGGGAGGGCAAATGGGAACAGGTGGGACCTTGAGAGCAATGCAATGGGGAAGGGGGTAACTTTGTACGGCTTGACGCCAAGGGAGAATGCAGATACCCAGATAAGACCAATCTAGCGAGGGTTGGAAGGACTAGAAAGGGGGAGGGAGAGGTTTTTTTTTTTAGGGGGGGGGGGAGGGGGGGGGGCGGGAGGGTAGCAGGGGGAGGGTAAGAAAGGAAAGCAGAGGTAGAGCTGTGAGAGCAATGCAAGGGGGAAATACCCTAGGTTTGATAGAATAAGAAGAGCTGCAATGCATGAAATCTGCAACACTTACTCCTGTGGCGTTTAATCCCGGCGTTGCCCGCTTGTACCTGCAACATCAGAAGGACACAGGGAGGGGAGAAAAGTGTCACTGAAAACAGAGTCATGAAAATGGATGCATGAAATCGGATGAAAAGGGTGTGCGTTATATCTGAGTCTTAGAGTACATTTTTCATTCCCTTTGCAAGACTGGCCGGCAAGCACACCGATCATGGGAAGGCCCTTGAGGCGCCTCAAAAGTTGTCGCATGTGTCAGAGGCACCTCAAAGAAAGGAACTGTGACACCTCAAAACATGTGACTTACAGCTTCCATTTGCGGAACTGGCCCCAGTAAGGAAGCACACCGATGATGATGAGAACACCTGGTGCAAAGATAGCGATCCAACATGTTGCCAACCCTTGGATCCCACCCATCTGCAAGGGAGTACGCGCATTCAGCGATGGAGACTTGGGGAGTGGTTAGCATTGGATTGAACGTTGAGATGGAAAGGTACTGATCATATGTTAATGAATTACACGCGTGTAATGAGTCTGCTTTTGAGTCGACTCAAAAGCTTATCATATGTTATTAGCTTACACGCAGTGAAGAGATTGGCAACACGTGAATTTGGAACGCGTTGAATTTGCCTTGGCATCGATGGGCTCACCACAGCACCAAGGAGGGCAGAGAAGTTGAAGAGCGGGCCGCGAATGGCCTGTGAGAGGAACACACTAACCTACGCAAGTGGCTCTAACGAAGCCGCTGCCACATGGTCTCATGATAGCATATGGGCTCACCACAGGTACCAAGGTAGGCGGAGAAGCTGAAGAGCTGGCCGCGAATGGCTTGTGAGAAGAACACGCTAGTCTGCACAGGTCGCTTTTATAAGATCTAACTTTGCAAACCTGGTGCTATGTGCTTGACACCGTTCCTCTGACCTGGGGCTAGATGGGCTCACCACAGCGCCAAGGTAGGCGGAGAAGTTGAAGAGCGGGCCGCGAATGGCCTGTGAGAAGAACTCACTAACAAAAGCATGTGGTTCTAACTTCTAACTAAGCTGCTGCCACGTGTAGACGTCATGGCTCTGACACAGGGCTTGATTGGCTCACTCACCACTGCGCCAAGGTAGGCGGCGAAGTTGAAAAGCGGGCCGGGAATGGCCTGTGAGAGGGCGAGACCAGCAAGAAACTGCTGTGTGGTGATCATAGTGGTGTTGGCATCCACCTCAAAGCACTGCCACGAGGGATGGTGTGGGAAGGAGGGGGGATGAGGGGTGGTGTGGGGTAAACACGTATGTGAGAAATGGCCTGTGAGAGGGCGAGACTGGCTAGAAACTGCTGCGTGGTGATCATAGTGGTGTTAGCATCCACCTCAAAGCACTGCCACGAGGGATGGTGTGGGAGGGGGGTGGGGGTGATACACGTGTTGATTCTGATTGTGCACTGTGCTTTAATCTTCATTGCTCCCTCTCTCCTTTTCAACTAAAACCAAGTCATATAAGAGCCCTTTGGGAGCCTTTAGGAATCCACATATCCCCTTACACAGTGTCATGCTCGATCACTATGCTCTCCAATAGAGGCAGCATCACGGGCCATCCTCCGCCTGCCTCTCCACCCCCCCCCCCCCCCCCCCACCGCACTCAACCCCTCTATATCTCACCTTTCCCCCACCAGCGGGGCACACAGTGTCATGCTCGATCACTATGCTCTCTAGCAGAGGCAGCATCACGGGCCCTCCTCCGTACGTCACCGATCCGGTCATATAGAAGCCCTGCAGCAGTCACACGAGTCATTGGGTGGAGAAATAAGGAGTCAAGGAAGGCTTGCTAAACAGCATCACAGGCCCTCCTCCATCCATCACTAATCCAGTCATGTAGAAATCCCTTCAGTCATTCACATGAGAAAAGGGAGTTAGAGGAGCATGGTATTAGGGATAAGGGGAAATGGGGGGGGGGGGGGGAGGGGTGGGGCGCAACTGACCATGACTGGCATGCGTGGATGCACATATGCACACACGTGCACACACTCACATACACAAGCACGCACCTCAAAAAGGTGCATAAATTTTGAGCCCGACTTCGTGATGGCTTTGTTATAGATGATGGCAAAGACCAGAATGGCGATCCACGCAAACAGCAGCATCCCGCCAACCAGCGGCGACACGCCCAGCTTCTGAATGTTGCTGCGCTGCGGCGGGATGGGCTTGTTGCGCTCCGTGAAGTAGGTGACCACGCCGCCTGGAAGTTGAAAACGAGGGAAGGAAGGGTAGGAGAATGGTCTGTTGAGCTGTGTGAAACAAACAAACAAACAAACAAACAAACAAACAAGCAGACAGAGAAACAAACAGACAAACAACGAACAAACAAACAAGCAAACAAGCAAACAACAAACAAACAAACAAACAAACAAACAAACAAACAAACAAACAAACAAACAAACAAACAAACAGACAGAGAAAAACAAACAGACAAACAACGAACAAACAAACAAGCAAACACTTCTCAACAAGCAGGATGACGGTGGGGAAGATCCACTGTGTGGTGCAGTAAAAGGTTATTGCAGCAGTGGTGACGCAGAGCACGCGAGCAATGACTTGTGCATTGACAAGAATGACTAGTAGATTGACAAGAAATTCACCAACTTGGTTCGTACCGAGGAGAATGACCGTGGGGAAGATCCACTGTGTGGTGCAGTAAAAAGTTATTGCAGCAGAGGTGACGCAGAGCATGCGTGTGACTCTGTTCAGGCACATCTTGCTCCCCAGCATCACTGCCGCATCTGCTATTAGCGCCACCGCCACCGCTATCGATCCAGCGGAGATAGCAGAGAGCCATGCCGGTGGATCCACCAGGAACTGGAGGGGGTGAGCGCAGGTACGGAGGGGTGCAGATAGCTGAATACGAGCACATGTAGGCGTGAGAGGCACATCTTACTTCCCAGCATCACGGCTGCCTCTGTTATTAGTTCCACCGCCACTGCTGTCGATCTGGCGGAGATGGCAGAGAGCCATGGTGCTGGAACTTTTATTAGTTCTCACCTTGAACTGGCTTTACTAACCTCTGTAGCTGCAAAGCCAGGTGAGCTTACAATAAGAACTTTGGAGCTGGAAGAGGATCCAGGAGAGGAAGCCCTGAGAGGAGCCCAGCTGATGGTGTGTCGGAGCATGTGGCTTGTGACATGTGCACCTCTCCATCACACACCTTGGCCACGCCAAAACCAGCGACGCTCATGATGAGAGCGCCAGGGAGTTGGAGAAGAATCCAGGAGAGGAAGCTAGCGGATGGTGTGTTGGAGAAGAACCAGCAATGGTGGAATGAACAAATAACGCATGTGGCACCAACTCTTTCTCTCACTCCCTCCTTCTCACCCACCTTGGCGACGCCAAAGCCAGCGGCACTCATGATGAGCGCGCCAGGGAGTTGAAAGAGAATCCAGGAGAGGAAGCCGCCAGTGATGCCCTTCTGCATGATGCCGATGGCAAGAGACATCTGCGTGCTGGATGGGCCGGGGACTGTCTGGGTGAGCGCCAGGAGCTCTGCAAACATGTCCTCTGACATCCACCTGAGGGAAGAACAAGAGGGTTCAGGATGAGAGAATGGGGCAATGGGAGGATGAGGGATGAGGAGAGGGTGGATGTATAGGAGGCGTTAAAGAGCTGGAAGCGAATCCAGGAGAGGAAGCCGCCAGTGATGCCTTTCTGCATGATGCCAATTGCAAGAGACATCTGCATGATGGATGGGCGGGGTACTGTCTGGGTGAGCGCCAGGAGCTCTGCAAACATGTCCTCTGACATCCAGCTGAGGGAAGGAGAGGAAGGGAGGGGAAAAGAGGGAGGGTATGTGAGATGAGGAGATGAGGTGTTGAGGGGATGAGAAGAAAAGGGATGAGGAAATGGTGGGAGAGAGGATGGACGAAACGAGTACGAGGCGCGACCTGTGCCTGCTGGATGGGCCGGCAACCAGCCATGCGTGGCAGGTAAGAGTGACGATAGGTAAATTAAAGAAAAAAAAAAAAATCAATTCGGCTGGGGAGGAATGGAACTGATTCATTCTTCCAGCTTCACTGATGCCTTCGGTTCCACTCACCCGCGCAGCTCCACGAACTGCTTGTGGCACATGGCAATGTGGGCAGAGGGACGGGCAACAAGGTCATACTGCTAGCCTCTACTCACCCTTACCCGCAGACCGAACAAACCAGCACTCCCCTACTCACCCGCGCAGCTCCACGAACTGCTTGTGGCACATGGCAATGTGGGCAGAGGGACGGGCAACAAGGTCATACTGCTAGCCTCTACTCACCCTTACCCGCAGACCGAACAAACCAGCACTCCCCTACTCACCCGCGCACCTCCACGAAGTGCTTGTGGTACATGGCGATGTGGGCGGACGGATGGGCATGGAGCCTTACTGCTGCTCCGATGTACCCCCAATCAGCACGCACTTCCCTACGCTTGAGGCGCATCAAAATCACTCTCCTACTCACCCTCGCACCCCCCCTACTCACCCTCTCAGCTCCACAAACTGCTTGTGGTACATGGCGATATGGGCGGCGGCACCACCAAACGATGTCCACCCGAGGAAGAAGAAGGTGACAAAGAGATCCCAGTAGCTTCCATGTCGTATCTGCGGAAGGATGATAACAGAGTCAAAGGGTTGGTAAAAGAAAAGAAAAGAAAAAGAAAAAGAAAGAAGAAAAAAAACACACACACACACACACACACACACACATACACACACACACACACACAAACAAACAAACAAAAATACAAAGGAATAACAGAATGAGTAAAGAATACAAACAAAATACACACACACACACACACACACACACACACAGGCGAAAGCAAACAAACAATGTGGAAGCTGAGCTGGGGGCAGGTGTGTGCAGCGATGATGGTGCCAAACTCACTGCTCTAGAGAAGATGGGGTTGTGGCAACGAGTCAATGGGGGAGGGGAAGGGGAGGGAGGGGCGGAAAAGGAGAGGGGAAAGTGGGCAGGGGGTAGTGGAAGGGGTCCCTGTGACAAAGGGGAGGGGAAGGGGAGAGGTGGAGGGAGGGGCTGACCTTGGGAGGATCTTCAACAATCACTTCGGTTTTCAATACAGATTCATTTGCAGCCTCACCCTCCTTGCTGCCATCGTCCTCACCACCCCCTGCCTCCTTCTCAGACTCAGTCCTTCCCAGGATCAATTCAGCAGCAGAGGCAACAGCAGCAGCAGTAGTAGTAGTAGCAGCGGTAACGGAAGCAGTTAACGAGGAAGTGGGAGAAGCAGCAGGCTCCTCAGGACTGGTCTTGGCCTGCTGAATTAAGACGTTCCAAGATAGTTAAACACTCGCAAATGTATGTCATGGCAGGGATTTATGACAGGCAACACCATCACAAAGACAGCTGCATTTGAAGAGAGCGCAAGTGGGCCCACTTGCAAGAGCGCAAGTGACAGTATGCTATGGAGTACAAGACACTGGTCCCCCTCTCCCTCGACCTTTCCCTCCTTCGCATTCTCAAAAGTCGGATCAACTCACTTCAACACACCTCAAGACCCCTTCCCTCTTTTCCGCACCTTTCTGATAAACGAAGGGAACATTCCATTGGCCATCCGCCGGCAAGCAGCAAGCAGTCCAGGCTCCTTGTCACTGCCGTCCCCATCCTCGTACGTAGCAGCACCAACACACGCGGCCTTAGATTCACCAGAGGCACCAGTGGCAGCAGATGCATCAGAGAGCTCTGAGTCAGAGCTGGCCTTGGCATTTTCTTCCTCCACTTTGGAATCATCATGGGAACCAGTAGTACTAGTATCTGTGCTGGTAGTGCTAGCAGTGCTAGCAGTTGGAGCATGATAGGTAGAAACACTCAGCCAGTTCTCCTCTTCTTCGGGTTGACCTGAGATGGGGACTTCGTTCTCATGTTCACGTTGACTCAAGGCTGGGCCTTCTTGCTCTGCAGCACGTTGACTTGGTAGTAGTAGGGTAGGAGATTCCTCATCCTGTGCTCTCTCCCTTAGTAACTGTGTTGGCATTGGCACGCCGTCATCATGGCTCGCATGATCAGCATCGCCAACAACCTGGTACAAGGTGGACAAAGGGAAAAAAAAAAAAAAAAAAAAAAAAAAAAAAAACCATCATCCGAAATATTAACAGCATTGGAATCAGGTCATCATGGCTCCTGTCCTGTGGAGTCACAGCAACGCCAACAACCTGGCTCAAGTGGGCAAAGGAAGATGGTTGAGACATCTGAAATATAAACAGCGCGTCATCATGGCTTCCGTCTTGTGGAGGCACAGCAAGGCCAACACCCTGACACATTGTGGGCAAGAAAGAGTGTCATCAGCCCCCCTGGAGGAAGAGTTGTGGAGGAAGATGGAGGGGGGGAGGAAAGGGGGGGAGTGGGTAGGCATTGTGAGGATGCGATCCATCATGTCAGCGAAAACAGTAAACATATGATGGAGGAAATTGAGCTCTCCCAAGAGTGCCACAATCTGCTGAGAAACAGCAACAAAAATCATTGGTTTTTCTCTTGACGGATCACAGCTCTTGGCGGAGCTTAGCCAGCGGTGACTTCGCAACTTGTCACAAACCAGTGGTTTTACTGGGACTTTCGGCCTCAACTACCTACTCTCACAGATGCCAGTCCGAACGAGAAGCCTTTGAGGTTAACTAACTGCAAACGCGGCAGCATTTGCTCAAACACCAACGCCAGCACATAGTTCACCTCACCTGTGCAACCTCAGACCCTGGCGCCATAATGTGGCGGAGCAGGCTGAATTACAGGCTCCGATACTGCACTAGCAAGTGCACAAGAGAGGGTACTAGAAGTTACGAGGACACTCAGTACTAGTACAACCACGTGGAAGTGCACAAGAGAGGGTACTAGAAGTTACGAGGACACTCAGTACTAGTACAACCACGTGCTGTACAGCAAGGTCTAAAGAACGAGTAGTAGTTACTGCCAGCTGCAACGCCAGCATCGTGCCGTGCTGCCGCGGTAACATTCCTTCCGCCGTCCCCCGTCAGGAAACGACAGATCGAAAGGACGGAGTGTTGTCGTTGTCGGCCTCGATCAGACAAGTCCATTACAGTGCTGTACAGGTACACAAATGCTGCAGTCCAAGTACGCGCGTTCGATTGTTGCACTGTTGCCGCAACGGGAACATGTTTATTTTCTTCTTCTTTTTTCGGAAGAAGGTGATACTCTATTTTCCCTAAACAGCAAACAGAGTTGCTCTGGTTTGGTTCGGTGCCCCCGCGGTGGAGGAAACAAGCGGTGTACGAATCTTCACATAAAAAAAAAATGCAGAAACCATTCTACAGTACATACAAATGACAGCTGAAAAAACTTCACAGTGAGCCAACTCTGCTCCACAAGCATGCCGACAAACTGTGTATTTTTCTGGATTTAATTTACATACCACCCGACCCAAGATCAACGGTTCTATCTATCCATGCGTTCTCCAGTATATATAAAGAAGGTGAAATCACCCAAACCTCGTATGGTTCCTGCCTCTCTTGCTTTACCATTTTCAGTTCTCTCAACTTGATCACTTCTATTTCAGTCATCCATGGTATTGGATAGGTCATTTCTCCGTGTCTACAGTATTGCAATTGCCGGTGCACTGCGTCGTCTCGGAAAGGCTCCAGGCAGGCGGGAGACCAAACCCGGGCACTGACTCGGCAAAAACAAATACTTAAGATAATGGTTTAAACATTCATTTGCAAACATTATTTTAGGACATGAAATGATTCTGTTTTGCATTTTACGGCCCCCTGCTTTCCCGTGCCCCGAGCCGAGCCGATGCAGTGTACTAGCCAAAAAAAAAAAATGAGATTCAGTCAGACTGTCAATCGGAACCACACATCCGGGAGTCGATAATTGATGGATAGCCCCAGATTCCTTTGGAAGTTCCCAAACAGATTGATTGTACAGACCACGACAGAGGGAGTAGCGACGACTCTGCTTCGCTCTCTGTACATTTCAACAAGCATACAGACATGCATAAACCCTTCATAGAAGCGTCTTACAGCCTCTTTTTTCATAGTGGATTTTTTAGGTCACTCTTCTGAAATTGACTTCGACACTTGTACCGCCCTGACACGCCTTGACATGAGTAAAACCGTACCCTTGAATCCCAGGTGAGAGCATACTTTCAGCCCTGCCGTTTCTACTCTGCTACGGACTTCTTGAGAGTTGAGCTCTCTTGCTCTCGAATTTCAGCTATCAGTAAATCTGGCTAAGACGTTGAAAGTCTGGAAATGCTGCAAATCATTGAAGCCCTCTTTTTTTTTATGCAATGATACACTATAGAGAGTATACAAAGCATTGGCATTGAAGCCCTCTGGGGATTCGCCTAAGTAACTGGAACACACTGTACATTCAGCGAAGTCTGAAACATCTGAAAAAAATGCGAAGTCACTGAAACTGGAATTCTGTCTTAGTCGCTGAGACACCCTAGAAACTAAATTAAGTCCCTTAAGCACGCTCAGCGACGGAACAGGTTGTAATATGGCGAAGCCCTTCCTCAATGTGGGTTTGCCCACGAATGATGATTACAGAGCTTAACATTGATAACAAAATTACCCCTGTCAATTCCGATAAACATTACAAAACATCCTGCCATTACAAAGCATGCACTATGAGTATGCCGCGCTTGGCACACTGCAGTGGCAGGGTGAAGGTAGGCCACGACTCGTTTCTGGCAGGGTGCCCAAAAACACATCGAGAGACCTGGTTGACATGGATGAGTGGCATATCGTGCGCGGTTTGGCCGTGTCGGCGGGCAGCCGTGTCACGTGTGACTGTTTGTGGATGTCAAACCCATTCAAGTAAAATGCACGCCTTGGTTTCTCAGGTGATTGTTGGTCAAGAACAACAACTGCAGCACGTCAAGACCGCCGGCGGCTTTGGGGAATCTTTTTCGCAAGAACTTGCCACTGCCTGAAAGAAAATTCAGATTTCGTTAGAAGAGTGGTTGCCACGGCCAAGTTACAAGGAGGTTGTGTCTCACAACTCGCTATATATTTTTTTTAACATGAGGATTATCATTATTGGATTCAGGTGCCCACTAAGCACAAGCTTTACGTGGAAGAATGTTGGTTTCAGACAGCATAATCTTGACGGGCACCATGACAGATTTTATGGTTGATGCTTCCGGGTGTACTTGCTGACATGGTATTCAAAAACTTAAGTGTCAAGAGTGTTTTTTTAAGTGTTCTGGACAATGAAATGCACTTGTCCCAGTATTCCTGCACTTTCTTGCCTACTGAATCTCGTTGTGGAACCTTGCATAAACGGGTTTGAGGCTGCAATTCTACTGACAGAGTCCGAGACACTTTCACAAGGCGCAATTATCAGACTGATGAAGCTAAAATGGAAAATACAATTGCGCTTCATTGTAAGAAAAACGCACTGGATTCACATTCCCAACCAGCCATACACCCTTTTAGTAGCACGACATTACCCCCAATCCATTAATCTGCCAATGCATCCTTGCAGTCTTTGGCCAACGTGGCCTCTGCTTCAGCTCCCTCACCCTCTCCCTTGACATCACGTCTCACTTCATCGCAAGGATAAGACTCAGCCATCAATCAATCACTCAGATCAATCAATGCATCCTTGAGATCTTGGCCCGCGGTGCGCTCTGCTTCAGCTCCTTCATCCTCTCCTTCTCTCGCCGCCTCGCCAGCTCCTCCGGGCTCAGCTTTGCCTCCTCTGCTTTCCTCCACTCCTCCTTCCTCCGCTCCTCCTTCCTCCGCTCCTCCTTCCTCCGCTCCTCCTTCCTCCGCTCCTCCTTCCTCCGCTCCTCCTTCCTCCGCTCCTCCTTCCTCCGCTCCTCCTTCCTCCGCTCCTCCTTCCTCCGCTCCTCCTTCATCCGCTCCTCCTTCCTCCGCTCCTCCTTCCTCCGCTCCTCCTTCCTCCGCTCCTCCTTCCTCCGCTCCTCCTTCCGCCGCTGCACCTCCTCCTGCCTCTTCTCCTTTGTGCCATCAGCCAATCAATCCATCAATCACTCAAATCAACTAATGCATCCTGGAAATCTTAGCTCTCGGTGCGCTCTGCTTCAGCTCCTTCATCCTCTCCTTCTCTCGCCGCCTCGCCAGCTCCTCCGGGCTCAGCTTCGCTTCTTCCGCCTTCCTCCGCTCCTCCTTCCGCCGCTGCAGCTCCTCCTGCCTCTTCTCCTTCGTCTCCTTCAGTGCTGCCTCCGCTGCTTTTGCTCGCAGTGCCTCTGCCTTGCTCTTGGCCTGAAACGAACAAGTTTGTTGGGAAAAAAAATGGGAGAGGGGAGGGGGGTTGGGAGAGAGGGGGGTGATTCTTCTCCTTCGCCTTCCTCCGCTCCTCCTTCCGCCGCTGTAGCTCCTCCTGCCTCTTCTCCTTCGTCTCCTTCAGTGCTGCCTCCGCTGCCATTGCCCGCAGTGCCTCTGCCTTGCTCTTGGCCTGAAAAGAACACAATGTTGAGGGAAGGAAGAATCAAGTGCAGGTGAATGAGAGAAGCAACTTATCCAGCCTCATCTCCTTCGTCTCCCTCAGTGCCGCCTCCGCTGCCTTTGCCCGCAGTGCCTCTGCCTTGCTCTTGGCCTGAAACGAACACAATGTTCAGGGAAGGAAGAATAGAGTGCAGGTGCATGATAGAAGCAAGAAGTCCTCCTGCTTCGTCTCTGCCGAAACCCTTAGCGCTACCTCCGCTGCTTTTGCCCGTGCAGCCTCTGCCTTGCTCTTGGCCTGAAACTGATTCAATTGTCGCTAACAAAGAGGACGAGTTGCGGGAGGAGTGGCGGACGGGAGGAGGGATAGAGAAGCAGAGTGCAGGTGAATGAGAGAAGCGAAGCTAGCCTCTTCCTGCAGCTTCTCCTTCGTCCCGTTCCCTCTCACTGCTGCCTCAGCTGCCTTCACTTTTCAGTCGACTCAAACGTCACAACGAAGCAAGCCTCTTCCTGCAGCTTCTCCTTCGTCCCGTTCCCTCTCACTGCTGCCTCAGCTGCCTTCACTTTTCAGTCGACTCAAACGTCACATCGAAGCAAGCCTCTTCCTGCAGCTTCTCCTTCGTCCCGTTCCCTCTCACTGCTGCCTCGGCTGCCTTTGCCCACACTGCCTCCGCCTTGCTGTTGGCCTCAGCAAGACGCCATGAGCTTCGCCAGCTCAGCAACGCGTGGAGGAAACAAGGAGAGGGCAATCACAGAGTCACAGGGTAATTTGCTTCAAGGGGGTAGTGGAAGAATCAGCTCACCTGGGAACGGCAATGATGTGGTGCCGTTCTTCACAGAGTCGGAATTTCCCCACAGCGTCAATGAAGAACGGCATGGACGCCATGAGCTTCGCCAGCTCCGCAGCAGTCAGGAGCGAGCTGTCACAGAGGAGACTGTTTATCTGGGAGTGCTGTAAGGCCGAGAGGAAGAAACGTCTCACCTGGGCGCTGAGTCGGAACTTCCCCACAGCGTCAATGAAGAACGGCACCGACGCCATCAGCTTCGCCAGCTCCGCAGCGCCCCCTCGGGGCAGCAGGAAGGAGAAGCGCAGCACCTTGCGGTGCGCGCCTGCGCCTGTGGGTTGCTGGTCTGTGAAGTGTAGTGCGCGGAAGAGAGGCGCTATCTTTGGGAAGGACTTCTCGCCAAAGAGCTGGGGGGGGAGAGGAGTACCGCGGGGGCAGGAGAAGGGGGGAGGGGGATAGGTAAGAAGCTGCGCGCCTGCTCCTGTGGGTTGCTGGTCTGTGAAGTGCAGCGCACGAAAGAGAGGCGCTATCTTTGGGAAGGATTTCTCCCCGAATAGCTGAGAGAACGACGGGTTATGAGAGGACGAGGGGATACGGTGGGGCGGGGGGTAGGGGATAGGTGGGGAAGGTGCGCACGCCTGCGCCTGTGGGTTGCTGGTCTGTGAAGTGCAGCGCGCGGAAGAGAGGCGCTATCTTTGAGAAGGACTTTTCTCCAAATAGCTGGGGAGACGAGGGGATACGGGCGGTTGGGGAGAGGGGGGGGAGGGAGAGGGGGATAGGTGAGAAGGTGTGCGCGCCTGCGCCTGTGGGGTGCTGGTCCGTGACGTGCAGGGCGCAGAAGAGAGGCGCGAGCTTGGGAAAGGACTTTCCTCCAAATAGCTGGGGAGAAGTGGGAGTAAGGGGGTTGAGGTAAGGGGTACGGGGGGATGGGGCGTACGAAGGGATGGGGCGTACGGGGGGATGCGTGGTCAGGGGATGAAGGGTAAGGGGATGGGAGGTACGGGGGGATGGGGCGTACGGGGGGATGCGTGGCCAGGGGATGAAGGGTAAGGGGATGGGAGGTACGGGGATCGTGGGGAGAGAAACGAGGGGTAAGGTTGTGGGTGGTGGTGAGGAGATGTGAGGAAAGGAAGGGGGCGGAATAGCTGGTGTGTGAAATGCGGGTGGTGGACGAGAAAGCAGCTTAAGAAACGGCTATCTTGGCTGATGGGAAAGTGCTGCGGGTAATATTTCGGGGGTGCGGTGGATGGGTGAGTAGTGGGGAGAAATGGTGAGACTCGACACAGGAAGGGGGGAGGGAGACACAGAAGGGAAGGGCGGAAGGGAAGAGGGCAAGGGCGGAAGAGAAGAACGGAAGGGCGGAAGGGAAGTGGGGAAGAGGGGAAGGGCGGAAGGGAAGAGGGTAAGGGTAAAGACGGGTGGGAGGGGGAGAGAGCTGGGAGCGCGACGGGTGCAAAAAGGGAAAAACGTGGAACCTTGAGAGGAAATTGTGAGTTGGTGATGAGAGGAGTGGAGGAGCGTGGAAAAGGGGGACGGGGGGCGGGGGAGGGGAGGGAGAGGACGAGGGGACGAGGGGGCGCGGGCGGGGAAAAAGAAGATGGAAAGATGGAAAGGAGGGACATCGGGAGAATGGATTTGCTGAAATGGGATGGCCAGAAAATGGAGGAAGATCTGCGCCACACACTCGTATCGCATCGTACCTGATCAATGATGACGTCAGACAGAAGCTCATACGCCGCTTCCCTGCTATCCCCGATAATAGCCAACTCGTCTGCCGCCCACTTGTTCTTCCCGCTCCCGCCTCCTCCCTTGAGCACCACTTCCGCGTCAAGCATGCTCGCAAACTCCTTAAGATCCGCGTTTTCTTTTATAAACGCCTTAGCGGATTTGCGCGGGACTACAGCGAGTACAAATGGAGCCATGTCTTCCTCGTTCATGTATACATCCACGTCGACTTGATCCTTCTTTGACGAAAGGAGCGCGTCCCATGCGAGCGTCGCGAGATCGTGGCGACTTCGCAGGTTCAGGGTAACCAGCATCGCTTCGCAGAACCTTCGCCCGCTCGCGTACAGCTTGAACGTCGCCTGGCCTTCTTTGACGAGGATCGGTTCGCTGGTGTCGCCTGTGCCGATCAGGGCGAAGTTCTTCGCGAGCAGATTACCCTCCGTCGCGAACTGATTGGCGAAAGAGAGCGCAATCTTTTCGTTCTGCCATTTGCCGACGAAATAGTTGATCGCAAAAATCACGAGGAACGCAAGGAAAACCCCTTCCGCAATGAAATCCCGCGGGTGGAACGGCTTCCGCGGAACCGAAATTCTCCGCGCGCGAGCCTTTTGCGCCTGCTGCTGCGCGGATCCAGGCTTGCCAAAAAACTGCTTCCCGCCGGCTGCTGCTTCCCCGGCACCAGCGCCAGCACCAGGCGTCACCCCTTCAAACTCCTCGTCATCCCAGTCCGCCGCTTGTCCTCCTGACCTACCCCCGCTGCCGCCAACGGAATCCGGTCCTTCGGATGAGGTGGTGTCCATTGATTTGGAATCTCGATCAGATCCAGCCGTTGCTTTTGTGCCCTGATCCGGCTCGAGCGTGACGGATCGCGTCGGAGGGCTCTGCGGGGCGACGAATTCCGTCTCCTCCTCGTCAGCTCCGTCGTCGAACTCGTCCTCGTCAAATCCCTCAAGCTGTTTCGCGGAAGCAATGGCGCGCTGCCACGTGGCAGTTGCTAGAAACGCCACAAGAAGCAGCGCGATCCACGGTATCCTGCTTTTCTTGGCTCTTACGGATCGACATAATACCCCAGCCATAGGATTGAATTACGGACCCACTGGAGGAACAAAAGGAACCGTCGATTCTGAAAGTGGACGGATCTGCACAAATGCTCAGTAGCTTTTGCTTCAATAGAGGCTAGGCCAGTACGTCTTTCGCTCAGTGTTGTAGATCTGTAACCCAAAACGCCTACTGGTGACTTCGAGTTGACCGTGAAGGCGCACTCCACGCAAGATGGAAGATCGAGCACGTTATTACACAATGCGGATCTAACGACGGCTCTAACGCGAGCCGAGCAGCACAGGAACAAACCAAAAGGCCAAGAAACATCACCAGAAGAAGCTAGCCAGGAGACAGCAAGCAGAGTGATTGATACACGGAGAGGTGGAACGGAGACCAGCAAGCAAATCTCGAATCTGGTTCCGAGGGGAGTGCATTGTCACGGGCCCCGGGGTATTGAGGGCCGAGGGCGTGCGTGAAAACTGCAGAAGGTAGAGCGAGATTCAGGCCTTGGAGCAGAGAACAGCTTCTGACTTAGTAAAACACCGCCTGAGTACATTTTCAGCTACTAAGCATACGACCTCGAGTTCAGCCCGACTCCTCGCACTGTGAACCTGAGCACTTGGAAGTATCCCAGACTCCGCGCGCCATGCACTTGTGCGCCCTCAGCTAGAATTCCGGAAAATGTTACTGTGAAGCCCTTTTCTTCGCTAACAGAAAATGCTACACAAGAAAGATAGATGGGATCTTCACATGCATGTAGTCTAACCATAAATTAATTATTGCCAAGGACTCAGAGCAAACATCCACAATCTTGTCGTGTGGTATACATGTAAGCATATAAACTAAATGCAAGGAACAAGCAAAAAAAAAAAAAAAAAAAAAAAAAAACAACAACAACAAGTGCAAGCTAATGCATGTGAGTGGCCCATGCTACCACCCCTAGTGCTCCCCCACCTACGATGGCAAGCGGAGCAGGGATCTGAAATCACACCAAACGACAAGCACAGACACATAGCAGGTATCAGGTGTGATAGACCCAGAAGGGATGTAGCTGGTGGCTGTCAAGTAATCATCGCGATGTTACAAAATTAGATCCCACCCACAGAAATAGAGGGCCCCTTCTTGGATGTGTAACAGTGTAACTCCTTTAAAATGACTAACAGCAACTTACACATGATTCACTGTTAAGAACGGCTGAGCAGAGTGACTGTAACACATCAACGTACCTTGAGGAAATTGGTAGGGTTTGAGTCGACTCAAAACACGAGTCGGCTCAAAACACGTGTCGGCTCAAAACAGTAACTGTAACACATCAACGTACCTTGAGGAAATTGGTAGAAGCGTATCCAATCATGGCAATGCAGAGTGACGCCATGGGGAAGGGGCTGACTTTGTACACCTTGAGGCCCAGGGAAAACACTGACGCCCAGATGAGACCAATCTGAGAAGATTCCGGGGGAGGGGGGAATGGGGAAAGGGCGGGAAAGGGTTGAGGGCCCACAGTGTGAGGGTTAGAACAACAGCAAGGCCCCTTGAGAGTGACGCCATGGGGTTGGGGCTGACTTTGTGCACCTTGAGGCCCAGGGAGAACACTGACGCCCAGATGAGACCAATCTGGAAAGGGTGAGAGAAGTGCGGGAGGCAAAGAGGAAGGGGACGGAAGGGGTGGGAGGAATGGAAGGGACAGGTGGGGGAGGGAAAGGGGCTGTCTTTGTGCGTCTTGAGGCCGAGTGGTAGTCACTTCTGAGAATTCTCAAATGTGAGGCCGAGGGAGAAACTGGCAGCCAGAAGAGGTTAATCTGGAGGTGAGGTAGTTGCAGGGAGTTTTTGAGAATTCTCAAAAACTCCCTCCGAGGGAGAAACTGACAGCCAGAAGAGGTTAATCTGGAGGTGAGGTAACACACGACGTAGATGGTGCATGGCAGCAGGTACTGCATGGCTTGAGGTAATGCAACTAAGAAGGCATTTATAAGGAAACGGGAAATGCTTGAACCTCCAAGAAAAAACACAAACGCTCAGATGAGCCAATGGGAAGTCGTTGACATGACGGCATGAGTCGTATTTGAGATGGGGGCAGAACCATGCGATACTAACGGGATACAACAATGCACACAGTATAGGCGCACTTACAGCGGTTGAGTTGAAGCCCGGTGTCGCACGCTTGTACCTGCGATGTCGAAAGGAAATTTTTTTACATAGACAGTAGACGAATGTTGAGTTTCCAGCTGCTACAGAGAAAGAAAGAAAGAAAAAAGGAATAGCAGCCATGACACGGAAAAAAGGGAAAGAAAAAGGAAAAATAAAATAGAAAGAAAGAAATAAAATTAAAACTTACAGCTTCCACTTGCGGAATTTGCCCCAGAAGGGCAGAACCCCGTAGATGATGAGGATGCCGGGCGAGAAGAGGCCGAACCAGCACGCTATTACCCCGCCCATCCCCCCCACCTGTGTGGTGGGTGTGCATGGGCAATCGAATGTGTACAAAGGGTGAAGCGAGGGGAAGGATTAACAACAGAAGGCCATGATGCCATAGATTGTGAGAATGCCAGGCGAGAAGAGGCCGAACCAGCATGCTATCACCCCGCCCATCCCCCCCACCTGTGCAGGGTATTGGCATGGGCATGGGCACAGGCATGGGCATGGGCATGGGCATGGGTATTGGAATGTGCAGAGTGCTGGGAGGGTGCACATCAGAAGTGCAGGACGACACCACACCACACATGATGAAGATGCTGGTTGGGTGAAGATGCCATCACATAAATGTGATGGGCCATCACGACCAGAATCTTCACCCAACACTCGATATCCATGATGGCCCGTCACATTTATGCAACACATGCAATACATTCGCAATGACTCGCCCATGCAACGGACTCAAATGGCACCAATGCAGGCCGAGAAGTTGACGAGAGGACCAGGCAGGGCCTGTGTCTGAGTGTTGATCCGTATGCATTGCATGGGCCAGGACCCATGTGGGCCAGGACCCAAGCAGAGGACTCACAATGGCGCCAATGTAGGCGGAGAAGTTGAACAGTGGACCAGGCAGGGCCTGTGCCAGCGCGAGTCCAGCGAGGAATTGCTGCGAAGTTACCCATGATGTGTTGGCCTCCACTTGAACGCACTGCCATGGGTACCATGCACATCCCATGCACATTCATGTCACATCACACACATTCATACCCCACCCATGTTACATCCAACACATCATGATTCACATGACATGCACACCCATGCCACATGCATGCCACGTCGTGTTCCATGCAGGCATACATTTTAGGGGCACGTGCAGAAGACGTGCAGCAAGACACGTGTCGATACTTGACCAAGTGCTGGTACCATAATTTTCTAGACAAAGCAAGGAACCGGCACCCGCCTTAATCACACGTGAGTTGACTCACCACAGTCTCTCAGTCGCCTGCTTGCCCCACCACTCTCACGGTCTCATAGTCAATCACAACCAGCAGCGGAAGCACCACCTGCCCTGGTGAGTCCCCCCCCCCTTTCCCCCTCTCCAATCCCCCAGCATCGCATCAACCCCTCTGTAAATCTCACCTTTCCACCGTTTGGAGGGCACACGGTCTCATAGTCAATCACAACACTCTCCAGCAGCGGCAGCACCACCTGACCTCCTCCGTACGTCACTGAGCCCGTGAGATAGAAGCCCTGCGGAAGAGATACGAGGAGAAGCAAGACACGAAGGGATGTGAGTCAGGCAGGCAGGCAGGCAGCACCACCTGGCCTCATCCGTACGTCACTGATCCCGTGAGATAGAAGCCCTGCAGAGGGCAGTTGTGCAAGACATAAGAGGAGGACAGGGATGTGAGTCAGTCATTCAGTTAGGTGGGCAGGCAGCACCACCTGGCCTCCTCCGTACGTCACTGAACCGGTGAGGCAGAAGCCCTGCGGTGGAGTGGAGAGAGGTGGGGGGGGAGAAAAGGGAGGAGTGAGAGCACGAGGGATGTCAGTGAATCAGGCAGACAGACATACAGGCAGTCAGGCAGGCAGCACCACCTGCCCTCCTCCGTACGTCACTGATCCCATGAGGTAAAAGCCCTGCGGTGGAGGCGAGTTGGGGGGGATGGGAGGAGGAGCGAGAGAGGAGGAGCGAGATAACAAGGGGTGTTTGACACAGGGGGAAAGAGTGAGGCGTTCTTGTAGACGATGGAGAAGACCAGGATGGCAACCTATGCGTCTGGCGTTTCAAGTGTGTGCGCGCACGATAAAAGTAGTGTTTTTAGACGTCTCAGCGCACTAGTTTTATCACGTGGCTATTCTTGTAGACGACGGAGAAGACCAGGATGGCAACCTATGCGTCTGGCGTTCTAAGTGCGCACGCGCACACACACACACGCGCACGCACGCACGCACACCCACGAACACCCACGCACGCACGCACGCACACACACGAACACCCACGCACGCACGCACGCACACACACAGACACATACACACACACAGACACACACACAGATACACACACACACACACACACACACACACACACACACACACACACACACACACACACACACAACGCACAAACATCCATCCCGATGTCAGATGTCGCACGCACCCACCTCGAACCAGTGGGTCCATGCAGCATTCTCGTAGCTGCTGGCGTTCCTATAGACGATGGAACCGAACAGAAAAGCGATCCATGCTTCCAGCACTAAAAGCACACACTCCACACCAGCAACTGGTCACCTTCATCATCACTCACGCACCCACCTCCAACCAGTGGATCCACTTGGCGCTCTCGTAGCTGGTGGAAGAGAGCAGGAGAACGGCGATCCGCGCTCCTGGCTGGCGCTAACACACACATGCACACTACGTGCAAACACCCATTTTGATGGCAGGCGTCACACGCACTCACGCACCCACCTCCAACCAGTGGATCCACTTGGCGCTCTCGTAGCTCGTTGCGTTCTCGTAGACAATGGAACCGACCAGGATGGCAATCTACGTGAACAGCAGCATCCCCCCCACCAGAGGCGACACGCCCAGCCCAGCCTCTGAATGCCCCCATCATCACACTCGCACTCACTCTCGCCTCGAACCAGTGGATCCACGGTGCATTCTTGTAGCTGGTGGCGTTCTTATACACGATGGCAAACACAAGCGCTGCGATCCACATTCCCTGCGTTATAAGCACACACTACATACATCAAGGCGCCCACCCCCATTGTCACTCTCACCTCGAACCAGTGGATCCACGGCGCTTTCTCGTAGCTAGTGGCGTTCTTATACACAATGGAAAAGACCAGAATGCCGATCCACGCGAACAGCAGCATCCCCCCCACCAGCGGCGACACGCCCAGCCTCTGAATGTCACTGCGCTGCGGCGGAATGGGCTTGTTGCGCTCCGTGAAGTACGTGACCGCGCCGCCTGGGAGCAAGAGGATGAGCGGAGAAGGCCAGAAGGAAGAGAGCGGGGGGCGGGGAGGTGGGGGAGATGGAAGATGAGGAGAAAAAGGTCAGGAGACCACGTGGGTACGTGCAGGAGAGAGAGAGGGGGGGGGGGGGGGGGGGGGGAGGAGAACCAGCAGCATCCCTCCCACCAGCGGGGACACGCCCAGCCTCTGAATGTCGCTGCGCTGCGGCGGGATGGGCTTGTTGCGCTCCGTGAAGTACGTGACCGCGCCGCCTGCAGGTGAAATAGGAGGGGGAAGGGTGTGCATCATGATTAAGCGGAAACCGTGACCGAGGGGGAGGAGGGAGGAACGGGAAGAAAGGGTTAGAGAATGTGCTTGTGCACTCAGAGATATAGGTCACCACGCCGCTTGGGAGCAACGAAAGGAGGAGGCGGAGGGGGGGGAAGGAAGGTAGAAGAGGAGATGCCACACAAAGCACCGTGTCCTAGCGCACATGTCTAGCTTCACACATACCAAGCAGCTCATATGCTGTACCATACACGTCCCAGTTCACACCTACCAAGCAGGATGACGGTGGGGAAGATCCATTGGGTGGCATAGTAAAAGGTAATCACAGCAGACGCCACGCACAGCACGCGAGTCACTTTGTTGCGGCACATCTTCTTCCCCAGCACCACTGCTGCCTCCGCCACCAGCGCCACTGCGACCGCTGCCAGCCCAGCTGAGAGCGCGGACAGCCAGGGCGCTGGGTCGATGAGGAACTGGACGAACGGGGGGAGCACAGGTATGGAGGGGTGCAGATAATTACTGAGGGGTGCAGATGGATTTAGAGAGTGGTGCAGCCAGGGCGCAGCTAAGAGTGCGGACAACCAGGGCGCTGGGTCAATAAGGAACTGGGAGAACGGGGAGAGAACAGATACAGAGGGATGCAGGTAGGTAAAGAGGAGCGCATGTAGGGCACCTCACTCAAGCGCTCCTGGGAACTGGAACAATGCTCCCGAGAGCAGCCCGCCGGTGACACCCTTCTGAATGAAGGAGGGTGAGCGGATGCTTATGCACTTATGCACTCATGCAGTCACCTATTTCAAATTCAAGCGCAGGCAGGCTCTGTCTGCCATTCTGCCGTTCCTCTCACCTTGGCAACGCCAAAGCCAGCGATGGCCATGATGAGGCCTCCTGGGAACTGGAAGAGTGCGCCTGAGAGCAGAGCAGACTGGATGAGTTTGAGGCACCTCACTCACGGATGGTGTAAGAGAGCCCCGCCTCTTCCTCTCACCTTGGCAACGCCAAAGCCAGCGATGGCCACGATGAGCGCTCCTGGGAACTGGAAGGGCGCGCCTGAGAGCAGCCCGCCCGTGATGCCCTTCTGGAGAATGGTGGGCGGATGGTGGGCGCTCATGCAGTCACCTATTTCAAGTGCAGGCTGGCCCTGTCTGCCATTCTGCCATCTCTCTCACCTTGGCAACGCCAAAGCCAGCGATGGCCATGATCAGAGCCCCTGGGAACTGGAACAATGCGCCTGAGAGCAGCCCGCCCGTGATGCCCTTCTGGAGAATGCCGATGGAGAATGACATCTGCGTGCTGGATGGGCCGGGCACCGCTTGAGTTAGGGCCAGGAGCTCAGCGAATACATCCTCTGACATCCACCTGAGGGTGGGAAGAGGGGCGAGAGGGAGGGACAAGGGTCCGGACGGTGGGAAGGGAAGACGGGCTGAGGGGTGTTTGCGCTGGTAGGAAAAGCAGCAGCCCGCCTGTGATGCCCTTCTGGAGAATGCCGATGGAGAATGACATCTGCGTGCTGGATGGGCCGGGCACCGCTTGGGTGAGCGCGAGGAGCTCTGCGAATACATCTTCTGACATCCAGCTGAGGGGAGACGAGAGGAACATAGAGAGGGGGGAGAAGAAACGGAGCGAGGGGGGAAGGAGAAGGGGAAGCAAGCGGTGTTTAGATTGGTTGCAGTGGTTGGGTTGGGTTGGGTGGATGGAAGCAGCAGCCCCCCCAGTGATGCCCTTGTGCAGGATGCCAATGGAGAATGACATCTGCGTGCTGCTGGATGGACCGAGGACCATTGAGCACTCCCTCCCTGAGTTAGGGTCAAGATCTCTGTGCATTGAGGTCGTTTTTGAGGCGCCTCAAAAACGACGTCAAGATCTCTGCGAGCATGCTCTCTGACATCCACCTGAGCACAGGGAGGGGATGCGGAGTGGGGGTTGGCATGGGCCGTGTGCCATTGTAACGAGGTGACTTTTGAGTCGACTCAAAAGGCATGCTCTCTGACATCCACCTGAGCACAGGGAGAGGATGCGGAGTGGGGGTTGGCATGGAGAGGGGATGGGAGTGTGTCAATGGGAGAAATGGTGTTAGAGATGAGAACCTCAAGGGCCCTTCGTCGCATGGGCAAAGGGGACCTTGAAGCTTCAAAACAAGCACTCCCTCTACTCACCCTCTCAGCTCCACGAACTGCTTGTGGTACATTGCGATGTGAACGGATGGGCGAGGAGCCTTACTGCCCCTCGGCTGTACCCCGAACCAGCACCCACTCCCTTATCCTTAGAGGCGCCTCAAAAGAACTCCTCTCCTACTCACCCTCTCAGCTCCACGAACTGCTTGTGGTACATGGCGATGTAGGCGGACCAGCAAGGGGACCTTCACATCACCCTCTATCAATCCTATCCATTTTACCCCAAACCAGCAATCCAGGCAAGGCAACAAACCCCCACCACTCACTCACCCTCGCAGCTCCACTCACCCTCTCAGCTCCACTCACCCTCGCAGCTCCACTCACCCTCGCAGCTCCACTCACCCTCTCAGCTCCACTCACCCTCGCAGCTCCACTCACCCTCTCAGCTCCACTCACCCTCTCAGCTCCACTCACCCTCTCAGCTCCACTCACCCTCGCAGCTCCACTCACCCTCTCAGCTCCACTCACCCTCGCAGCTCCACTCACCCTCGCAGCTCCACTCACCCTCTCAGCTCCACTCACCCTCTCAGCTCCACTCACCCTCTCAGCTCCACTCACCCTCGCAGCTCCACTCACCCTCTCAGCTCCACTCACCCTCTCAGCTCCACTCACCCTCTCAGCTCCACTCACCCTCTCAGCTCCACTCACCCTCTCAGCTCCACTCACCCTCTCAGCTCCACTCACCCTCTCAGCTCCACTCACCCTCTCAGCTCCACTCACCCGCGCAGCTCCACTCACCCGCGCAGCTCCACGAACTGCTTGTGGTACATGGCGATGTGGGCGGACGGGCCGCCGAATGCAGTCCACCCGAGCAGGAAGAACGCCTGGAAGACCGCCCAGTAGCTGCCACGTGGCACCTGGCCATTGGGAGGTCAACACGACAATTCATGCGAGTAAAAGCAAGTCAAAGGAGGGAAAAACAAACACTTTTGAGGTTTCTCAAAAGTGACTCAAAAGTAGCCAGACCAGTTATCAACACAGGGGCAGAGAGAGCGAGAAGAAGAGATGAGAGGAGGGGAGAGGGACGAGGAGGAAATTGATTTTGAGTCGACTTAAAACTCAAGACTCGTCGACTCAAAAGGAGGGGAAGTGGCCAAACCAGTGATCAAAACGGGGGCACATAGAGCCGCTTTTGAGAATGGGGGCACATAGAGCGAGTAGGAAAGAATAGAGGAGGGAAGAGGGACGAGGAGGAAGGGGCAAACAGCGATATTTTTTCGGATCTCAGAACTTGAGTTCCTTCTGAGAATTCTCAAAAAGGAATTCAATCTAGGTCGTGAGATAGTGGAGGAGGGAAGCGGAGCGGAAGGGAAGAGGACGGTGGAGCTGAGGGGAGTTGGAGCAGAGGGGGAGGAAAGGGATGGTAGAGCTGGGGGGATGAGGGGCGGGGGAGGGGAGGAAGGAGGTGGGAAGTGGGGAAATAACGGAGCGGATGATGGAGAAAGAGAGGTTTGCCAGGGGAGGGTCTTACCAGGGGAGGGTCTTACCAGGGGAGGGTCTTACCAGGGGAGGGCACTATCGCCCTGTAACGCTTTGTAAAGTATCTCCGAGGTTCACCAGTGGGGAAGAGGCTTACAAGGGGTGGGGCTTACCAGGGGTGGGTCTTACCAGGGGAGGGTCTTACCAGGGGAGGGTCTTACCAGGGGAGAGTCTTACCAGGGGAGGGTCTTACCAGGGGAGAGTCTTACCACGGGAGAGTCTTACCAGGGGAGGGTCTTACCAGGGGAGAGTCTTACCAGGGGAGAGTCTTACCAGGGGAGAGTTTTACCAGGGGAGGGAATTCGACGACGACTTGAGGCAGAGCAGGCACGCCTGCTGCTGCTG